CAAACACTCCAGCAATAGTCTTAACTCGTATGTGACCTTAGCAATTCTTGGTAAGTTTTAACCTTCTGGTAATGCTACACTGTAGGGTGAGCTTCCAACATGTGTGCTTTGAGGAACATACTTGAACCGTGGAAGCTAATGATACAGAAGGCTAGACAAATTTGGGTACATAGTGCAAAATAAATTTTATAGGGCAAAAGTAACAGTCAAATTATTAAGTTCCCAAACAACAACAAATCCCACTAATGGATGTCTTTACTCTTAGCACTTGTAGGAGGATCTCTGAATTTGAGGCCAGTCTGGTCTATGTTGGGAGTTCCAGGCCAGCCAGAGCTGCATAGTGAGACCCTCTTAAGTGTGGTAATTATTTATACTAAATAATAGCCAAAGGTTTCAACCAAGCAGAGATTCTTAGGAGCTTCTATAATGATGTTATAATCGGCTTTAAAAAAAATATGAAGTCATGTTTAAGAACAGCTGTTACCAAATGTCTGCTTCATGAAGGCTAGGACAACTTAGTTTTCCCCAGAATTATATTTCCTCATTTTGCTTCGACTGACAGCTGTGATTTGGGTGCCTAAACTAAGAAGCTATAAACAGGAGATAATCAAACAATTGTATGCTGTATCCAACAACAGAATTTCTAAGCCAAGCTGGTCAGTGTCTGGGAGATTAAAAAAGATAAATCGTGCACATACATAGTTATAGTGTGTGTGTGTGCATGTAAGAGAAAGATGGTGAGAAACAGACATAGAACAAGAGAGAGTGTGAACACTGATTCATTTTAAACAGACAGAAAACCCACTGGCACATACATAAATATTCATTAATTTTAATTGCTATTATGTTTATAAGGTACAGCCTTTAAAGCCATACATTTTAAATTGCATTAGACCTTTGTGGGAGGTAGATAAGACCTGGGCTTTTAGAACAATGTCACTGGCCATGGGTGTGACTAAGGGAAAGACTTTCTCATAGAACTGCATAGAATGTACAGACTATTCCATAAAAAGCAGCACTTGGGGCTCATGGCTTCCTAGTCTTTTGATAACACATCCCTAACTTATAAATCAGTTCTTCCATTGGATTTCCTGTTGTCTCTTACTGCTACACATGGCTGATCTCCGCCATCTCCCTGTATTGACAGTAGGCGTTACATCTTACCCTGTTCTTCGGGGAAAGGCAAGCAAATATTCACTTTTGGGGGAACTTATGAATTTAAGTAAATATAATATGATTCACTTCCTAAAAAGTTGAGTTCTTTAAATAATAGACACCATAGACTTTTAAGATATATGACCATTTTTATGTGATTAAGATACCTGCTACTTAAATATTTTATAAATTTTTCTTCATTTTAAACTTTAGCCCTATACTGACTGAAAGAATTCAGTTAGAATTATTTTTTATTTTAAATTATTTTATTATTTTGCTTATTACTTTATTTATTTATGTGCACACGTAAATATGAGTGTGGCACAGCCCGTGTGAGGAGGTCAGAGGACATCTTGTGGGAGTCAGCTCTCTCCTTCCACCTGTGGGTCCTGGGAATTGAACTCATGTCATCAGGCTTGGCAGCAGGTGATTTTACTGACGGAGCCACTGTGCCAACCCCTGGTTTAAAAAATTGAAACTTTATTCTTATAAGAAAAGTGAAAAAAATAAATATTTTAGTTAAGGAATTAAAGAGAATTTTAAAGATTTATTTTGTTTGATAGTTATGTGTATTGGTATGTAATTGTGCAGGTTTGCACATGTGACTGAAGGTTTCCACTGAGGTCAGAAAAGGGCATTAGATCCCCTGGAATTGGAATAAAGGGCTGTGTGGGTAGCCATCTGATGTGGGTGCTAGGATCCAATCTTGGGACCTCAGCAGGAACAATAACTGTTCTTAACTGCTGAGCCATCTCCCCAAGCCCCATTTTTCTCTTTCTTGCATGTTATTAGTGTCTCATGTGTAATAGGCTTTTTCTTACCCTTGGTTACACAAATATAGGCCAGATTAGATCAGATTAAAAGTTGATAAAGGCACATTTATTAGGGGACAGCTCTTTGGTAGGTTCACTGATGTCCCAGGTGCAGTTCAATGAAGTAACACTAAAGGAAGGGGGTTTATGAATCTTGGGCAAGGGATGATGATGCTAGGAGCTAGGGTTGTGCCCATACATGGTCAAAACCAGCCTCCTGCAGGTGCTATTGAATGAGTTGCTGGAAATGTGGAGACAAGGAGTAAGGACATGATAGCCCACAGTTTTCTCTGAGGGGTGGGGGAGTTTTTCTGTGTAGGAGGGTTTGGGGGAAGGAGGGCAGACCATCCTACCAAGATAATGGGAAATTTTTGTTTTGTTTTATTTTGTTTTGTTCTGAGACGTGATGTTATCCTGGCTGGCCTGAAACTCACTATACAGTCCAGGCTGGCTTCCATTTTTATGGCCAGCTTACATCTCTGCCCTTCTAAATGCTATCATTATAGGAATGTATCACCCTACCTGGGAAAAAGTCTTTTTTTTTTAAATTTTACAACAGATTTCAGGGGTCAGAGAAATGGCTCAATGATTAAGAGCACTGGCTGTTTTTACAGAGGTCACGGATTTGATTCCCAGCACCCACATCGTGACTCACTGCTGCCTGGAACTTCAGTTCCAGGGGCACCAGCACTCTCTTTTGGCTTCCTCAGGCACCTAGCATATTGATGAGAATGTATGGCAAATTCCTATTCTTAGTGAAGAAATAAAAGTAGGCCTACATAAAATTATAAGGTCACTAGAAATAGATGAAGCTGTATATATTTTGTTAAAATTTTGGCTTTTGAAGAAGCAGTGGTTCACATATATTCAAATAAGATGCCTAAATGTCTTTTATTTAAGTATGAAATAGAGGCTTTTTTAGCAGAAAACACAGAAACATTAGTAGCAGATGGAGGCACTTGAGATATTTGTCAAAGCAAGCAGAATGCCAGAGTTGGTTTTCTAATTTACAAGCATCTCTACAGGCTCAGAGATTGGAGATCACTGGAGAAAATTGTAAATGATTTTCATTCAGTCCAATCCCTCATTCAGACACTGACTGAGACTGTTTTGTTTTATATTTGTGGATTTGGTAGATCAAAATGATAACATAATCATTAGTTATAAAAATGAACCATCTGACCTTCCTCTGGAAACCCATAATATGATCACTCAGTAGAACATAGAGTCTGATTTTCTTTTGTTTGGAGTTTATAGTAACAACAGATGAGCAATCAGTGTACTTACTAGGCCCCCAGTGTCAGGTGCACTCTGCAGGGTGGATGACTGATTGGACATCCAAAAGTCATCAGACTATGGATGAGCTTCTGGGTTCTCTATAAAGATTTCCTCAAATCTTGTACATTTCAACCAGCCATTTTCTCTGCTTAAATTCCTACATAGCTTTAAAGAGCATTGTTTGTAAGCTACAGGGCTGGCTGTATATCACCTATGTTAATGTATTCAACAAATATTTACAAGTACCTACTATGTTTCTTAGAAGATATAAACATATTTTATTTTTAAAACTCAAATATGGTTTTGGGAGAGATGAATCAGCTGGCAAATGCTGCCACATGAGCAGAGGGACCGGAGTTTTCACTCCTAGAACCAGTGAAAAGCTGGAGTCAGTGTTATTCTCTTATAGGTCCAGTGCTGGAGGACTAGACACAGAAGGATCCTTGACATCCATTGGCCAACCAGCTCAGCTGAATTCATGAGCTTCAGGTTTAGTGAGAGACCTTCATCAAAAAAAGATACAAGTGGAGAGCCATTGAGGAGAGACACCAAGTCAAGCTCATGCCACCACCTGCATGCACACCCAAATGGATGCCTCCCATATGAACATGGTGCACACATCTATACCGGCAAGTGCACATAGCACACCCTCATACATATACATATGCACATACTATACACACTACACATATGCACATATATAAACACAAATGCACATGTATACATGGTACATTCCATGGATATCACACACCCATTGTGTTGGCTGGTTTTATGCCAATGTGACATAAACTGGAGTCATTTTGGAAGAGGAACTCTCAGTGGAGAAAATGCCCTCACCAGATTGGCCCATGGGAAAGCCTGTTGTGCTGGTTTTCTGGTTGATGATTCATGTGAGAGGCGCCAGCTCACTGTGGGCATCATTACCCTGGGCTGGTAGTTCTGGGTGCTGTAAGAGACCTGGTGGGCAAAGGTGGTAAGCTTCTGCTTCAGTTTCTGCCTCCAGGTTCCTGCAGTTTGTACCTTAACCTCCTAGATGATGATGAATTGTTGTTTGGAAGTACAAATGAGATAAATTTTTGGTCCCAAGATGCCCACAGCAATGGAAATCCCTACTATACAAATACTCTACTTAATATACCGTACACACACACACACACACACACACACACACACACATTCATGTACACACATACACATAGACCACACATATACACCACATACTATATACATGTGTACACACTATAAACATAGATAATCATATTACAAGAATACACATAACCACACATATACACCACACACACACACACACACACATATATATATATATATATATATATATATATATATATATATATATCACATATACACACATACATATAATAGGCCACACATATACAACACATATATATACCCCCACATATATACACACCATATACCCCATATTCATACCATATACATATACAACACATATATCGTATCAACACCACACACACACACATATATACCATACACACACACATACACACACAACACCATATTCAATATATACACCATAATACAAACACATATGACACACATACACAGGAATCAATATAATTTAGTGTGAAATGGTTCTCTGATATTGACCCAGTATATTCAAACATGGAAGTTTGAAGACTTATTTGTAATCTTTTTTCTTTTGTATTTTTCATAGACTGCCGGTACATATGAATTTTTCTATATGTACTGATTTGTTTTTGATTTATTGTTTTCCAGGTGTACATCTTTGAAGTAAGATGATGTGTCAGAAATTCTATGTGGTTTTGTTATACTGGGGTAAGTTGATACACCTTTGTGTACTTGGAATGATATTTCTATAGATTGATTTCCAAAGAGGACTTTTATGTTGAACAGTAACTGGTATTTTGTGGTTCCAACCCATGTCTATAAATAGCTGTTCTATAGTGTTTGCCCTTTCAAAGAAGACAAGTATAACATTTTCCTTTAATTTTATCTATTTGATTTTTTTGTGAGGTTGGGCAGTTAATTGACGATATTCCTAATGAGAGTTTGAGTTCATGCATTTCAACCATCTTGTTGGATTTTATTGGTGTTAGACAACTTTAAGAATTTTAAAAAATGTAATAGACTTAGCTGTGCATTAAGGCTTCATAGAGAAACAGAACAGATGGTGGTGATAATGTGTGTATACATATGTGTGCACACATATGCACACACATGAAGCTGTTTATAAGCGTGTGCACACACATGAAGCTGTTTATAAGCAGCTGGATCATGTAATTACAAAGACTGAGTGGTTCTAAGATTTGCAGTTGGAAAACTGCAGACCCAGGAGAGCCAATGGTGTCCACGTGCAAAGGTCTGAAACACACACATAGATGCATACACACACACAAATACATTCACCTGTATAAACACAGGTGTGCACTTTTGTAATAATGACAATATGATGCTCTGAGGGGATATTATCAAAGAATGGTGCTCATCTTGGCTAATGTTTGTCAGTTTTGTCTTTTTGAGAACTGTCTTTCTAACAGTAGTGGGGTGATGTAGTGTTGTGATTTTGTTTTGGTTTATCTAGTGATTAGTGAGGTTGAACATTTTCACACACACCCATGACCACTTACTCATATATTTTCTTTTGTTTTATTGTGTTGATGCTTTGCCTGCATGTATATCTATGCATCATGTGCATACTTGGTGTTCATGGAGGCCAGGAGAGGGTATCTGAATCTCTGGAACTAGAGTAGAGTTATAGAACTTTGTAAAGTTCCATGTGTGTACTGGGAATTGAACCTGGGTCCTCTGGAAGAGCCACAAGTGCTTTTAACTGCTGAACCATCTGTTCAGCTCCTTGTGCATCTTCTTTTAGTAGATATTTGCTTGTGTCTTTTGAATATCTTAAAGTACCATTATTTTTACAGTACTTTTAATACTCTAAGTTCATACATATATAAAATGTATCTTTGTCACATTCAAGTCATTTCCCTTCATATTCCCAGTAACTACGTCTCCCTCCCAACTTTGCGTCCTTTTTTTTTTCTGCCCAATTAGTGCCACAGATGTATGATCCCTTGTTTATTTTGGATATTGACTCCATATTAGACATACAATTTATAGACATTTCACCCCATTCTGAGGTTTGATATATGAAGTCATTCTGTTGCATATTTCCTTTGCAGTGGCAAATATAGAGTTTGACATCATCTTTGTCAATTTTTTGCTGTAGTTGCCAGTCACTTAGGAGTATATCCCCAAATATCATGTAGCTCAGTGTCGTGTTTCCTGGCTTTACTGTAGTTTTGTCATAGTTGCAGGCCTGCTATTTAGGCTACTGATCCAGCTTAAGTTCATTTTGTGTATGATGAAAGATGAGGCTATTCTTTTTCCCCTCCCTCCCTCCCTCCTTTCTTTCTTTTGTTCTTTCTTTCTTCTTTGGCTTATAAATATCCATTTTACCCAGTGCCATTTATTAAAGAGACTGTTAATTCTCCAGTGCGTTTTTGGCAGGCGGTTTTGTTGAACATTAGTTGGTTCTGGAAACACAGATGTATTTCTGAGTTCTTGGTCATGAGCCCTTGACTCAGGCCTCTTTTTGTGCCAGCACTGAGCTGCTTTAGCTCTGTGTCTTGGTCCTGCATTTGGAATCAGATTTATTGTATTTTCTTCTTTCAAAACAGGGTTTCTCTGTGTAGCACTGGCCATCCTAGAACTTGCTCTGAGGACCACTGGCATCAGACTCGGGGATCTGCCTGCTTCTGCCTCCCGAGTGCTACAATTACAGGCATGCTCTGCCATGCATGGCTGGAGTCAGCTCTGTTCTTGATCTCAAGTTGCTTGAGCTTTTGGTAGTCCTTTATGGTTCCATATGAACTTTTGTACCATTTATTTCTATTTCTGTTGAGAATGTTTTTGGCATTTTGAATTGCATTGAACTTGTGCACTGATTTGGTTAGTAGGTTTTTAAATAGTTATTCTTTCAATTGTATGAAAATAGAACACTTTTCCATTTGTGTTTGTCTTTAATTTCTTTCATCCATGTTTTATAGATAGTGTAGAAATCTTTCACTTCCTTGATGCTTCTAAAAATGTAATTATTTTAAATGGGACCGTCCTTCCTTTTTTATTCCAGTCCCCTTTCTTTTGAGACAGGGCTCTCATTATGTTGCCCAGGCTGGTCTTGAAACCGATGGCCCTAATGATCTTCCTGTCTCATCCTCCTGGGTAGCTGGAACTACAAATGTTCTATAAGTGTATTTTTAAAAAAAAAATAGTTTTCCTGTGTTTTGATGTTCATTGTTTACTTTTGTTCATTCTGGGCCTTTGACAAATGCAAGATGACATTTCCCCACTACTATAGAAGTCAGTGTCCCTGCCCGCTTGCTCTCCACGTCACGGCCTGCTTATTTACCCTTCTGCTCCACTGAGATCCTGGCAACCAGTGTCCTTGGTGGAATTATGCAGATTGTGTCATTGTGATGGCTTCCTAGGGATATACGTGTAAATGTCTTATGTCTCTTCATGGCTGATTTTATACTTCTCTTTTGAACTGAATATTATGCCTTTGTCTGAATTATACAGTTTATTTATCCATTGAGACAACAAAGAGCATTGTTTCTGTTACTTTACACTTTCTTCAAAACTCTCATTCCATGCAAATCCATACACAAATCTCAGAACTCTCTGTTGGTGAATATACACAGTGAAACAGTCAGCAGATTATTTGAGTTCATTTGTAAAATGGTGTATTCAATTGTTTATTTTCAAAAAACACTTATTTAAAGATAAGTGTAAAACCTGAGGCTTTTTGGGTATGGTTTTGTGAGTGTTCTTAGTTTTATGTTTAAAAGGTTCATCCACAGTGTGAATTTCCTGAAGGGAATGTGTTGTTTTGTGTCATTTCCTGGGGAGTGCATGGAACATTTCCTATGTGACAGCATGCATCTAGAGGCACCTGGAAGGTTCAGGGGACCTCAAATTGTCTCTTAAGTCAAAGACAAACTCTCTCCTAAAGCGTTCAGTGAAAATTGTTAACACATTGAGTCTTTTAATGAATTTTAAGAGTGCTTTAGTGCTTATTGATAAATTAAGCACTCATATTTATTCTGAAAGTTAGATAATTTTTGTATAAAAAGGAAGAAAATTGAAGTAAATTTTCTCATACTAAAATGTAAACTTGTTAGATTAATGAGGAAAATTGATGCAAGAATTTCCAGAGGAGAGGTAGAATTAGTTCAGTAAAGATATCAAGTTCTCAAGTCTACTACACTGGAAGGTAGAAGCTCAGGGTTGTTTATTAGACACTGATCCAGCACTCTGGAGATTAAATATTTCTATTCAGAAATACTGTGCCATTTAATCTCAAGTACTTCATTGTTACGTTAATCTTCAGGAAAATGATGGCTTGTTTTCTGTGTCTTTTTGCTGTCCTAACAGAATTTCTTTATGTGATAGCTGCACTTAACCTGGCATATCCAATCTCTCCCTGGAAATTTAAGTTGTTTTGTGCACCACCAAATACAACCAATGACTCCTTTCTCTCACCTGCTGGAGTCCCAAACAATGCTTCAGCTTTGAAGGGGGATTCTGAAGCTAAATTTAATTCAAGTGGTATCTACATTTCTGAGTTATCCAAAACAATCTTCCACTGTTGCTTTGGGAATGAGCAGGGTCAAAACTGCTCTGCACTCACAGACAACACTGAAGGGAAGACACTGGCTTCAGTGGTGAAGGCTTTAGTTCTTCGTCAGCTAGGTAAGTACTTTTATGTTCCAAGTGTATACAGTGTTGTGTTCTGCCTGCATTCGGCAATATGTTTCAATTCTCTGAAACTTCTATGGATTAGATATCTTTTTATATAATTAACATATATTATAATTTTTATATTAGTATTAATTAAAATTAGTATGCATGTGTGACTAGTAAATATGCTCAGATCATTTTATATCCTATAAAACTGTCATTAAGGGAACTCTTTTACCTGTAAATACACTGTTATAAGTCTAAATTTTCTTGGAAGTAGAAAGTGCACACTTTAAATAGATAAAATATCAAATTATTAACAACACTGTTGAATTAACTAAATTTAAAAATATTTCTGAATTGTAATGAATTGTTCAGACTGAGAATCTCCCTGAAACAATATATGTTATGCTGAGTGAGTTTAATTGTTGTCTTAAGAATTATACACCCCAAAAGCTTAGTTAATTTTTTGTATGGAAATTAAAACAAAATTATTTCTAAGTTTTCTGAAAGGGCAGAGAAGACTTAATTGAGTCAATTAGATGAAAATACCCAAAATATGGAAAAATAGGCATACATAAGTAAGGACTCTTGTATAGTGTTAGTTGAGATTTCACCGTTGATGCTAATGACCTTTCCGTCTAGATAATTCTTCAGACTGACCTCTGTACTGCAGAATGTTTAATGATAGTCCTGGTCTCTACCCAGTAATAACAGAAATATCTCCAGCCACCATAGTGGCATGTGAGAAGCAAAGACATGCAGGAGGATTGTGAGCTCCAGTCCAGCCTGGGCTACAACGTGAGACCCTGTGTCAACAGGCAAACCAAACTAAAGAAATCTTCAGATGTTGCCAGGTGTTCTCCCATCTACCCAGTTGCTCACTATTGATTATGTGGAAAAAAGCACCCCATGTTGAAAACAGTTTAAGAACAAGATGGCTCAGTGGGTAAGAGCACTTGCTGCTCCTGCAGAAGGTACAGGTTCAGTTTCCACTATTCAAGTCAGAAGACTCCCAAACCACCTCTAACTCTAGTTCTAAGTGAACCGATGTCCTCTTCCGGCTTCTGTCCACCTGCATGCCTTTGGTGCACTTAAACTTGTACAGACACACACACACAAACACACACACACACACACAGAGAGAGAGAGAGAGAGAGAGAGAGAGAGAACAAAATAAATCATCACAAAAAGAATAATGTTGAAATTTAATTATGTTATAAAACTAGATTTTTAAAAACAAGTTAGTAGGAATAATTTCAATTCACTTTATAAATGTTAATCTTATTTTGAATGAAGCTTTTTTGTTAACTAGTAAAGGAATGCCTAAGCCAATCCATTGATTTTTAAACATGCTAAGAATGAACAGAGTCTTAGTAACGAGTCTTGAATGATAAAAACGTTATCACATTCTTTACTTCTGGAGGGGAAATGATTACCATATTGCATATTTTAATTTTTTATGAAAATGGCTAATAGCTAGTTAATTTATAAGGGAATTGTTTTTGTGACTAAAATGAGTAGGGTATCTAATGACTATCAAAGATTTCAATTTGTTATTCTTTCACATAGGTTTCTCCTTCACACAAGGCACCCAGTAACTGGGAATATTTCTCATTTGGAGAAATATGTTAATGTTGTGTCAAGTTAGTTTTGTCTTGTTAGCCATAAAAGGTTTACTTTCATTTTTTATTTACACATACATATGCATTTCTATATAAATGATGCCACATGTGTTCAGTTGCCTGTGCAGGCCAGAAAATGTCCTCCCATCTCTAGGAGCTGGAGTTCCAAGGGGCTACAGGTAGTTGTCTTATTTGATGTAGTGATTTCCCTTGAAAAGTAAACATTTACTAAGGGTAATAAAAATGAGTCTTGCCCTGTTTAGGTGGCTTGAGATTAAACCCAAGTTGAGGGATAATAACTGAATTGAATTATCTGATTTACGACAGGCTGGGATGTGGTGGGGCTAAGGGACTAAAATGAGGGTGGAAGACACTGAGTGGCTCATGCAAGTTCCTCCCTATCAGGGCCTGATTTCCCCTCTCAGAATGACCAGCGGAAGTTGTATCAGAACACTGCTAAATTCAATTTAGTGCTTCTCTTTCACTGGATTGTTGAGAGTGTTTTTCAGGTTTAATGCAGTTTATTTTTAATGCAGGTGTAAACTGGGACATAGAGTGCTGGATGAAAGGGGACTTGACATTATTCATCTGTCATGTGGAACCGTTACTTAAGAACCCCTTCAAGAATTATGACTCTAAGGTCCATCTTTTATATGATCTGTGAGTACCGATGAAATTAATTTGGCTGGCTGTATGACCTGATTTGTTTAAAGCACAGAAGTGGATTATGACTCCCTCCCATCCCTGCACCTCTTTTTGCAGCTCTGTACATTGTAGAGAGTAGTTTGGATGTCTTTTCTACAACAATCTACTCCATTAGGTTTCCTCTCTCTCTTCCTGTTTGTTTAGGCACAGAGATACTGCAGATATGGACGGACAAAAAGAAATGTAGACGTTGTCAGATACGCCTCTGTGTGAATTGCCTAATGTGTTTATTATATGAATTATCCCATACTCTTTTTGATGTATCCCTCTGTGAGAGGTTTTATACTGTGTACAAACCACATTTAAAGACATGGCCAACCAGAATGGGTTTAAAAACTTGATATTGACGAAAAGAAGTTAAATGGATGGGTAGCAGTTGGAGGCATGTTAGGACTGTAGTCTTATTGAGGGATTGATGTGATGAGGAAAGTGAAGAGTCTCTACCTTTCTGATGATCTGGTGAATTCACAAAGCCAGTAGAACTCAGAACTGCCATGGCAGAAGAACTTGGGTTTATAGGCAGTCTCCCTTATAGGAGCAGCCTTCTGGGGAGGGTAGCCAGATTAGAGATGTGTCCAGGAGAGTACCCAGATTGAAAGATCTGATAATGCTTCGGTAATTAAATGGAACGAGAAGGAAAGCGAAGACTCTAGTTTCCATTGTGTGTTAATTAATTGAACTGTCATAAGAACAATAGAGGCTTCATACAGCTCTCCATTTTAAAGATTCTGGGAGAGTGCAATGTGATTAAAATGAAACAAACACTTCACTTCTGTTTTTAAAACACAAGTTTACTACACAGTAAGAGCTAGAAGATAAAGAGAAGGACTGTAAAAGGCCATCTTCTGGACAGGGCATAGATATTAAAATTGCAGACTCACAGTGGTTTTGGTTGCTTGCACTAAGCCTGCTCAACGCTGGCTCTGTCAATAGTCAGTCATAGATGTGTGAGGGTTTCATGGGGACTCTACTTTGTGTATTAGTTACTTTTTGTGATAAAACATCATAACAAGCCAATTTATAGAAGAAAGAGTTAATTTGAGCTTATGATTTCAGAGGGTTAGGGTCCAGGATGGCAGAACAAAGGCATGGCAGTAGGGATAGATCACATCTCAAAGTACAAAGTAGAAGGCAGAGAATACCTTGGTACTCATAGTGCTAGTTTTTTGAAACTTCAAAGCCAACCCCTAGTGACACGCTTCCTCCTACTAGGCCATGCCTCCTAATCCTTCCAAAATAGTTCTACCAATTGGGAACCAAGTATTCAAATATATGAGTCCGTTGGGGCCATCCTTATTCAAATAACCACACCCTCCATGCTGAACTAATAGCTACAAATAGATTCTGGGAGAGGAGGAGTCATTGTCTTTACTTGTGTACTTCCTGTTGAGCCCACAGGCCCCATGATCACTCTGGTGGCCCTGGTTAATGTCAGTGGGTCACAACATAAGACAAAAAGACATGAATTATTTGAGTTTAGTACAGGTATTTTGAAAGGCGTGTGCTCATGACTAAGCAGAGGTGTCCCTTCCATCTTTGGTCTGAAAGGCAGGTGGTAAAAGGACACTTCCTCTTATAATACAGTAGAAGCTCTAGAGCTAAGTCTGAAGACAGTGACAGTGTACTCACATACATAAAATAAATAAAATTCCAACAGGAAGTGCTGGTGGTGAAAGGAAGATTGAATGTTTGTGAGTCCTTTAGCCTGTGCCATATTTATTGGCTTTATCAAAAATGTGTACTTTGTCAAGTGCAATTCAGGTTGTGTTCGCCCAGATGGCCATGTGAGCTGTTACATACATTGAGCCCCTCTGTAGTCTCAGTTGGTGACTAAAGTGATTGTTAAGACAATTCCTTTGTCAGGTGGCATTCTATCTGTATTAAAGAAGGAGAATTATTTTTTTAAAAGTGATTGAGTAAAGACTCCTAGGCTTGAGAAATTTACAGCTATAATTTAGGTAGCGTTTAGTTGATTTCTCTGAGTCACTCTGGTCAAAGGGGACCACTGATTTAACAACCAACTCCAAATCAAAATAAGAACACTTAGTCTATTGCATTTCTCCTTAGCTCTTCCTTCCTACCTGATACCAGGAAAGCTTTACACTGACTGTGTTATACATTCAAAGCCCTTGGTGATTCATTGTGAGCCATAGGCAATGGGCCTTTATTACCATTACTTCAGCATGCACAAATCATTACGTATAATACATCATTTACATATACTTAAGGAGAGATATCACATGATCATCTCAATTGATACAGGATAGGAAAGGCCTTCGGCAAATTTCAACATCCCTTTGTGAATTAAAGCCTTGGAGAAATCAGGAATAGAAATACCTCGACATAAAGATCACGTATGACAGATCTATAGCTGTGTGTGTGCGTGTATCTCTGTGTATATCTATATTATTTATATGTGTGTTTGTAGGTCATGAGTCTATAGAGAGAATCATGAGAGGAGAGGAAGACATCTTAAGGAAAGAAGGGCATATGATAATAAAATACACATAATTGGAAAGCAAAGGTGGAGAACTAACCCAGGTAGAGGGGGAACCACTTGCAGAGGCAAGGGGGCCATATAGGAGCAGTGGAGAAGGAAATGGCTGAGATCAAAGCAGAAGGGCACATAACTATGAAGAAGCTCCAGTGAAACCTAGTACTTTGTATTATTACCTATGCAATTAGTTAAAAAAAGAGAAAATCCCCAAAAGGTATAAAAATGAAAAAAATAAGCAGCCGAGAGGAAGTGTCAAAGTGTCAAATATGAAGAGTTACCATCTTCATCTCTGTGTAGACTATTGGTTCACTGAAACCTTGAACCCTGCACACATCTGTAAAAGGTGAAAGCTACTGAGTTGCAGTTGTCCTCCCACAGAAGTGTTCCCAGTGATGCTGCCTCCCTTCTGTGCTCTTATGAACATGTTTGTAAATAATGAAAGGAGAGTCAGTGCAGTGCAGGTGACTTGATCCTGCACAGCTAAGTTAACCATATTAATTTATCTTTAACATATACATGCGATAGCTGAAAATGTAAAAATAAGTCCATTTTTGGAGATACTCTATCTATACCTCCATGGCTGGTGAGTTGGCTTGCCAGACACATGAAAAAAAACCTTAATTAGATTCTAGCTGATTTTCCATTTTGGTCAGGTTAGAGAGGGAACCAGCTAACCAAATTATGATCTGGAAGATTTCACAACCAATTTAACCAGTGGCTGCACTGGTTAAATTTTGTCAGTTTGACAGAAATCTGGACATACTTGGGGCATCCTCTCAGTTGAGGGGCTGGCACCATCACACTGGCCTATGTACATGTCTGTGCAGCATTTTCTTGATTGCTGATTGATGTGGGAGGGCCCAGCTCTCCTGAACAGTGCCATTCTGGGAAGGTAGGCCTAAGTTATGTAGAAATCAAGCCAATAAGCAACAGTCCTCTGTGATTTCTGTTTCAAGCTCCTGCTTTGAGTTTCTGTGGTCACATTTCCCCATGATAGGCTTGACCTATACACCAAATAAACCTTTTCTTGCTCAAGCTGGTTTTGGTCCTTTTTTAAATTTTATTTAATAGAAAATAAAACTAAAACGATCTAATTTTTAAATGAGAACGATCATGATTGTCTGTGGAAAGTACTTCCAAAAGGCAAATGGATAAATCCCTGGCCTATATCTAGTTGTTAGGGCATTCAGTCTCCCACTTGCTGGCTCAGCCCACATGGACAGTTGCTCTCTGTGTCATAATCTGCCAGGATGTCCAGTCCTTCTGCTTGTGTCATATTCTATGTATGCTATATATTCAGGGTCATCCTTCAGCTGGGGTCGGGGTGAGGGGACTTGTAAAATACTCAGAATAGAAGCTTTGTGAGTTATCTTTTCCATGTTTAGATTTTCAGAATTAATTTTGTTGTCCAGTCATGAGTGCTGATTACATTTAAGGATGGGAAGCTCTTTGCTTATTTCATCAGTGATGAATCTCTGCTTCTGTGATGCTTATGCCCACAAAGGTACTTTCTTCTGAAAGGCTGGGGGCTTAGAAGCCAGAGGAAACATACATTGTCCTATGTCCAGATACTGATCCAGGCTATTGGTTATAGTTGAGTGTCATGGCAGGAGTTTTAGCTTCTAGATCTAACCCCATTTTGAAAACCACTTTAACATCTCTGAATGCTTTGATAATGATCTTATGCATAGTGCTTTGTATGGCAAAGCTTTATGACTAAGCTTACTTATTTAGAAATGTTGAGATTTGTTTAAAATAGTAATTAAAGGTATTATTTTATTTTAAAGAAATCAACCCCTTGTTCCATTAAAACTCACAAGAGACATCTTTCAAAGTGTAAAAAAAGTATATTTTTCCAGAAGCTAAAATCTGATATTTAAAAAGGATTAAAAATAACTATAAATACATCCTCAGCGAAAAGCATTGTTTGAGCTCAGATATTAATGTTTGTCTGAGCACTTGAAGGAGAGATGCTGCTCTAAGAAATGTGATATTCCGGGACTGCTTTAGACATTTATTTTAGACCACAGAGGAAGTTCTTTCTTTCTTTTTGTAATACTCTACTGTGTGCAACCACATTCTGAGTTGAGTGTGGGCAATAGTGTTTATCACATGCTTTTTTTTTTCCCCTAGAGAGACCACACACACGACTCTTCACTCCAGATAGGAAGCCCATGGCAGACCAAAGTGAGGATACCACCAAGGTTCAATTTGGTGAACCAATGAGTTTTACTGGGATTAATTATAGTAATATGAGTGAGGGGTTACTTATATGAGAAGAGATGACTCAAATACAGGTATATCACTAAAGCCTACCCCAGCATGAATGACTGCTCACCAAAGCTGGGGACCTGGGCGCACTGCACACATGGAGGCAGTTCAACAGGTTGAGTTTCCAAGTGACTCAGTTGATCTAAACCTCTTCCAGTTAGCTTGGATGATTTCTGCTTCTTGTTTCCTCTGGGGTAGGTGGGGACAGCTAGTGAATCTGGTCAGTTTCAGGGACTTCCTGAAGCTATTTGAGTTATTTACCTTTTGGCTTAAAGAATTTTCCTGTATGATAGAATGTTTCAGTCTGTTAGGAAATATCTACACAACATGCTTCATTGTGGAGCTGAAGTATGTTTTAAAAACATAGAATGCTATAGCCAAGTTTGAAAGTGTGATCATACAATAAAGAGGACAGTACACATGAACTAAGGAACATCCTGCAAAAATTAAGAGCAGGCAGAACAGAGTACAGAGCATTTGCAAGTGTATAAGACACAGACAGAATAGTTGGAGGACTGAAGGCTGAGTGTGGTTGATCTGGGAAACCATTGAACACAGGAGCCTATGGACCAGGTCAGACAAGGAAGTACTTCCTGCCGAGTCACACTGGGGTGTTTGGACCTTCCTGGCTATGAAAGGCTGGTTCCCTTTTTTTGCTCCCCAGGTTTGTTTGTTTGTTTTGTTTGTTTTATTTTTTTAGGGGGGTTTGTTTTCTTTAAATCAGCATGTGGTGATTACAAACCCTACATGTATGAGCTTCAGTGCTTTGGGTTCGCTGTTAAGCACATTCTTTGGCATCACTTTTAACCTGTTCTTCCTAGAAACTCAATGATGAGTAGAATTTCACACTTTGACTAGCTCTCCTCTCAATCATGCTATTCCCATCCCCCCATGAGTCTTAGCTCCCTCTCCCAGGGTACTTAGTCTCATCTTATGACCTCCTGTTTTTGACCCTTTCTTAATAGGAGACACTCAAGTCCTTTCCTGAGTGTTCCCCTGGCAAGCAGCTTCACTGGACATATTCAGCTCTTGCTGAACTTGTGTCCAATATTAATGGACACAATGTTAAGACAGTCTTGTTTATCTCCCTCTCTACCAGGAAATGCCTGACCCCAGATTACCCATGGGGATGACGTGAAGGTTCTGGATGTTGCTTAACCAGGGAGAAGCAGACAAGTTTTTTTCAAGTGACTCAGGGTTACTAGGCTTTTCCTACCTCACTGGCCTACTGCAATTTTAGGATTCATGCTAAAAGCTCAGTTTCTCCTGTGGATAAGCCCTTCTCTCTTCTGTGTTTGCCCAGAGCCATTTCTTGACTTTAATTTTTTTCTAGAGAGGCAAGATATCACATAATTCCCATGTCCTCATGTGAGGAAGCTAGATAATTTTAGTCAACTCGTAGGCCAACCAGGATAGAACTTTCCCTCCTTACCTTGGACCCTGTCTTCTGTTTCTTTGAAATGTTAGAAAAAACGTTCCTCCTTAGAATTTAAATTGCTCTATGAAAAAGTGGTTGGATCTAGACCCTATGAAGGCCCCAAAAGGCAAAGCTTCTTCCTTATGTTCTAAAGAACAGAATCTATGTTCTACTTCTGGCCCTAGGGAGACTTGACCTTCCTTCTAAAGAACCTCTGCTGAAGAGTTAGTTTAGTTGCCTTGTCAACAACTGGGCATGGATTCTAGTCCTCTCTTATTTTAAGAAGTAGGTTGATACTTATGCCTCTCACCTAAATCTACCAGACTGCTCATGAGATTTCTTTCAGTTTATGGTTTCCTTTTTCTTTCTTCCTCTTGTCCTTGTTGATTCTCCATTTGTTTGGAGAGAGAACTTAGAATAGTACAGTTCACCTCCCTCCTCTGTAAGATTTATCTTGGCCAAAGCCTCACACCTCAGCCTATCCAGTGGGTCTCAAGTAGAGCTAGAATGTTTGTGTTTATTTTAAAGACACAGAATCCATGAATTTGAAATGAGGTCTAAGAATCATTATTCTTTGTATTATTTGATACTAGTAGGGTAAAATTTTGTGAAACCATTTTTACCATACCAGCTCACTGGTATGAAACATCAAATAGGCAATTTACAAAACTAAGATAGGTAAAGTTATCCTTCAAGAACTGGGGACTGGGGGTTTACTGTAAGCTTTCCTGAGTCCAGGACCTTAGGTAGTATACTTTTACAGTAATTTAGCTTAGGTCTGGTTTAGAGAATGCTAATGATTTTATAGAGAAATTTTCTGGGAAGAAAAGAATTGTACCAAAAGTCAGAGGACCAAATGTACCTTCTATGAACCATGTGTGGCTTCTATGAACCATTGTTAACAACGAATTTTAAATTGTAAATGTTTATGTCACTAACTAGAAAATTTTGCCCAAGGTAAAGTTTGTAAAGAAACCAGATTTTAAATCAAATTGACAAATGTTCTGGCATCATTATGTACTTTCAAGTACATTTTGTTCATATATAAGAATTAAATACTAGCAGAGAGTGTGTGTGTGTGTTTGTGTGTGTGTGTGTGAGAGAGAGAGAGAGAGAGAGAGAGAGAGAGAGAGAGAGAGAGAGAGAAAGTACAACCTTGAGTGTCAGTCCTCACACTCCATTTTGTTTTGAGACAAGGTGTCTTGTTTGTTGCTAACATATCAGGCTATCTAGCCTCAGAGCTTCTGGGGATTCTCCTGTTTCTGCTTCCATTTTATAGTGAAAGTACTGGAATAATAGATGTTTGCAATTGCATTCAGCTTCTATAGCTTCATTGAACTCAAAATAAGGTCCTCGTGATTGTATAGCAAGCACCTTACCCACTGAGCCATCTCCCTCAGCCTCTATGATTCCTTCTCTTCCTCTTCGCATGTGTCTTAGAGTTCCATTGCTATGAAGAGACACCATGACCACAGCAACTCCTATAAAGGAAAACATTTAATTGAGGCTGGCTTATACTTTTAGAGGTTTAGTGTATTATCATCATGGCAGGGAGCATGGCAGTATGCAGTCAGACATGGTGTTGGAAGATTCAAGAGTTGTATATCTTGATCCATAGGCAGCAGAAGGAGACTCTGGGCCATTCTGGGTGTAGCTTGAGCATATATTGACCTCAAAGCCCACACTTCCTTCAACAAGGCCATGCCTCCTAACGGTGACATTCCCTATGGCCAAGCATTCAAACCCATGCGTCTATGGGGGCCATACCTCTTCAAACCACCATAAACACTATATTTAATTCTCATATATATGAACAAGCTTATTTACTTTTAAAGGTAAGTAATAATTAAATAGACAGTAGCAAGTAGATAGTAGATATTTGGGTCTAGTTTCCCCTTGTCCTGTCAGAAAGTCTGCTGCTCTTTGCCAACACTGTTCTTCTATGGAAGGAATGGCTTATTTTGTACAATTTGGCGGTGCTAAATAATGACTTGCTGCAAGGTGACTTTAGTACGGCTAGGATGTGGAGAGCTAATCTCACTACGTGGGTCAAGTTGTTTGACAGTGTTGTTCAGCTCTTCATCCTGACTTGTTATATTAAATTTTAGAGAAGAGTTGAACCTTTTACCAGTAGTTATAAAATAGCCTATTTCTTCCTGTTATTAGGCACACACATATTATATGTACTTTTCATGACCCCCTCCACATTTTTTTTTTTGTTATAAATGACTTCTTTACCCTGGAAAATAATTATTGCACTATATTCAACTTTATGACTTTAATGTAGCTCTTCAGCTTTGTTTTAATTTATCTTGAAATAGCATATCTTTTTCTAACCATCTTCTTTGGTAAATTTGAGTTTTAGTGTTAAGATTGATTTTTTTATGAGAGGTTTATAATTGGGTCTTATTTTTTTTTGCCCAGTTAGCTACTGACTGCCTTCTAAGGGAGACATTTAGACTATTTGCATTTAATGCCAACGACTCTAGTCTCAAGCCTTCTCTTTTTTCTTCTTTTCTTCATATTTTTGTTTGTTTGTTTGTTTGTTTGTTTGTGGTTTTTTGATTTTGGAGTCAGAGTTTCTCTGTGAAGCTCTGGTTGGCCTTGGACTTGCTCTGTAAACCAGACTGGCCTCGAACTTGAGATCTGCCTGCCTCTGCCTCCAGAGTGCTAGGATTAAAGTTGTGAGCCACTATCACCCAGTTGCATTTTTTCTTGTTTTTTTGTTTATTTTTATGATTCCATTTAATCTTCTTTGATGCTTACTAGCTTTAGTTACATGACTTACTATTTTAGTAGCTTTTGAATTATGACACGTCTTAGAATCTAAGCAACTCTATACCACTTTGTATGTCATGTATCATATTCAGTTGTACAGTTCTGCTCCCCCAAGCTTGGTGTTCATACTGCATACTTCAGTTCAGTCTATGAAGTGCCATGCAAATACATGGCCATCAATCTTGATTTAATCAGACAATAAATAATTATCCTTGGAGTCAAACTTCATTCCTTTGTGTGACACTAGATTTCAAGGTTCTTTTATTTTCTTGTGTCCAGAGCCTTTCTATAGCATTTTCATAATGCAGATCTGAAGATAATTCTTTAAGTTTAGGCATGTCTTAAAAAGCCTTTATTTCATATTTTAAGGGTATTTTCACTGTGAGTGGTATGTTAGAGTGACTTCTCTTGTTAGTGTCTTTGTCCCCTTGCTTATGCTTCCTTGACAGTCAGTCCGCTCTACCTCTCTATTCTTTCTGATATAGCTCACCTTTAAGCTGGATTTAATATTCTGCTTTCCAAACCTGCTCAGTCTCCATATCCATCTTACATTTTGCTCTTATATTTAAATATAGGCCTGAAGTCAGAGATGATTTGCCTCTACCTCTGCTGAAAGACAGCTTTCAGACTGTCCAGTGCAACTGCAGTGTTAAGGAATGTGAATGTCATGTTCCAGTACCCAGAGCCAAACTCAACTACGCTCTTGTGATGTATTTGGAAATCACATCTGCCGGTGTGAGTTTTCAGTCACCTCTGATGTCACTGCAGCCCATGCTTGTTGGTAAGTTGAGCTTCAGAGTGACAGTGGCCCTAAAAAAAAAAAAAAATCAATCATGCAAAGATGTTGAAAGGTTACTTGTGGGTTAAAGATTTTCACTGGCTTACGTCATTATGATTGCTACTGAAAAACATGGGGAATGTAGTCCTAGGGTGTTATAGGCAACCTCTTCTTGTGTTCACAGTGGCAAATGTCTCTAACGTTAGCACTGAAATGGTCTTTTGAAGCACCCATGGCTCCTTTAAGTCTTGGATTTAGTGAATGGACGTATATTATTTGATTATCATCTGTTTATATATTAGGTAACTATTTTTGAAAATTATTAAAAACATTTTTACCTGAATTTACTTTTCCAATAAATATATCTTAGAAGTCATGTGTGCAGATATTACTATAGAGGCTGGAGACACTGAGGAATGAGGCAGGCTTCCTACTCACACGGCAGAGTTGTAGTACTGAGCAGAGTCAATACGGAGCAGTAAACAGTCAAGCCATCCACTGTGCAGCCCAAGTACAAGACAACCTGTTGCAAAGATCCTCAAGGCTCCTTTAGTAAACTTACATATTTAATTCATAGTTGTGTATAACACTGGCATGTATTAAGGTACTTAGTTTTATATACACAGTGATGTACACTGTGTTTAATTGTATGTTACTTAACAGCTTTACTATATTTTATTTCCATGTTCTGAAATGATAACATGCATCTCTTCATATGTGTGCATGTGTGTGGGCAGGTACATGTGGAGGCCAAAGGTGAATGGTGAAAAATCAACCTTCAGTTGTATTTTATTTTATTGTGAGAGGGTTTCTCACCGAGTTTGGAGCCCATCAGTTTGGCAAGATTAGCTTGGTCCTAAGCTCCAGGGATCATCCTGTCTTTGGTCCCTCATCACTAGGAATGTAGGCACACACCACCATGCCTATATTCCTATGTTTTATGTGGATACTGGGGATCCAAACACATGTGATAGGCACTTTACCAGGAGAACAATCTCACCACTCTCTAAGCAACTCTCATTTGCCTTTGATTCAAGGATCTTGATGCCACTGAAAACACTTTTCCGTTTATCTCTCACAATTTCCCACACAGCTCCAAACATTGCTTCTTTTTACATGACTTAAGATGGTACTTTTGGACTCTTGTTTAACAATTTTAACAATAGGACTTTCAAGTAATCTGTTATCTAAAGACATAAGCATGGCTTTTTTTGCAACATAATGACAATAATACCCAAGCAATTCAATTGTAGAATTATGTCACAGGAAAAAAAATGATAAAATATTTATTTAGCTTCATATTCTTATCTTTTCAAAACTAGGCAATTTTAAAAAGCACTTAGATCAGCACTGCATTTAATTTCATTTCCAAGAAGAGTAGTTAAGTTAACGTGTGACCATTGAATTTATATGTATTCAGAAATTCTTAAGTTTGTCCTAATACAGAGATATTAGAAAAAAATCAATTTCTTATATTTGAACTTGAAATATCCAAAAACTTGTAAGTGCAGTGAAAGAATGAAGATGTATTAGGTAGTAGTGTTGATTTGGGGGTTGTCATTTCCACTATGATGGTCAATGATCTATTTAGTATTAACTGAATGAGGAAGAAGTAGGTACACATCTAAAACTCCAGAGTAAGAAATGCTTCAAAACAGAACACATTCATTCCCTGGGTTGAAGACAAAATCCAAGTGATGAAATGAGGAACATGCAGAAGTCCCCAAGTGTGGCGTTAATGAAGTGTGCCTTAGAAGAGATTGGATCGGAATTGCTAATGGACAGAGAACACCAGAGGCCAGCGTTAAAGAGTTCTGATTTGATGCCATTCATATGGAAACTTTTGATTAGGAGTTGGTAGGATCAGATGTGTCATATGATCACACATATCTGTATGTTCAGATTCTATTCTACCTTGTGAAGAATGTTATTATTAAAGGGAAAAGAACAGGTGTGTGAGTAGGAGGAGGAGCCTAGATGGGAGGCTGTAGGGATTGGCCAGTCAGTTTAGGGCTGTAGCAATAAAGATGTGTGGAACTGAGGAGATTCCTTTGTAGGAGCTAAAGGACAGAGAGGAATTAAAATTTACCTTTCAGTTTGTCCCTAAAAATCTCCATCAGTGAAAACACCAGTTCTTCAGAGAGGAATGCTGGGGATTAGGTGTGTGTGCAGAAGTCAAGGTTGCTTTATGTGAGATGACTCAGAGTTCTACGAGGTATGGAATAAGCAGCTGGATATAAGACTCCAAAGTTCAGGGGAAACACATATATCTTTGGGAGTTGTTAGCATATGGATTCTGTCAGATCATCCAGTTAGAATTTAGGAAGAGAAGCACTAACAGACATTAGTAAGAATTAAGGAGACTGTGTTGTCTTAGAAACTGTGGATAAAACACATTTCACTGAAGGTGTATGCAGCTGTGTGGCACAGTGTGCCAAGAGGCAGACTAAACTTAGTTGGAGAGTGACATCAGACTTGATAAAGGGTAGTTATCTTGATCACAGCAGAGTTTGTGATTGGAGAGGAGGAGCTGACCAAGGTAGGCTGCTTAGGTGGAAGGCAAGTCTTCCCCACTCTTGATGAGTGGGTGAGCCGCAGCAGTGCTGAGCTGGGTGTGGGAGAGCCGGGAAACATCTTTATGCAATATGTAGTGATATGTATATATCTTTTGTATGTTTTCATATGAGTGTGTACTGGTAGAAGATAGGAAATGTGAAAGAGCCTGCCGTTGTATGTAATTTCACCACTCTTTGCTGTATTTATTTTTTTAAGTTTCTGTGTTGTTTTTGCTCGGGAACATAGTAAAATTTACATGTTGGTTAGTGTTTAGTTCACCCTGTTTAGACTAGCTTAAACTTGTAACAAGTCACAAAAAATAAGTGTCTTCAGATTTGAATAAAGGAATTAATGGCTGCTTGAATTCATACCTTTATGGTATGAACCATAATTTGTTAAAGTAATCTTTGCCTGTAAGATGCTTAAACTGTTTCCTCACATACTTAAAGTATTTTCTTAGTAGTTGAAATAATCAAGTACATATATATGCACATACATACATAAATGTTAATATGTACATGTACATTTGAATTCAGAAATCATTTACCTAGCTAAAATCCCCATTAAGCTAAGAAACCCCACTCCCTTGTCTAAAGAGAGACAGGTCCTTCTAATGGTGCAATTATTGCATGGTCATGTTTGTTCTGAGATGAGTAGGTGTGCTTTGGATTGCTATTTTACATGGATAGATATGCCTACTTTTGCCCAGGTCTGTGCATTTTCTGAATACTGTTCTGCACACTGCTCTTGTCCTCATGACCAGCAAAAGCAGGCACAGTGACTTGGACTAGGCAGAGACTCCAAGTAAGACTGAAAATTATTAGCAATGTGAAGTTAGGAAGACTTTATAGAAGGCAATCACATTTATCAAAACTATCCCATTTCCTGGTTTTATAGCCTTTCCCACACAGGGGAAAGAATGAAGACAGGATTTGCTGGGATGAGTGTGGTACAGCAGAAGGGCCCATTCTGCATCTCTGATTTAACTCTGTAATTAGCCCTCAAATGAGGTAACATTTTAAGTGTTTGAAAGGCAAACTATTCATCTCAACTTCATTTTATTCATATATGATTGCCCTGAAAACTGGCCGGCTTAAAGGTCTTTTTGTTTTTTTTTCTTAAGTGAAGCCCGATCCACCACTAGGTTTGCATGTGGAAGTCACAGATGATGGCAATTTAAAGATTTCTTGGGACAGCCAAACAATAGCACCATTTCCTCTTCAATATCAGGTGAAATATTTAGAGAATTCTACAATTGTAAGAGAGGTAAGTATATTTTTGTAATGAAAGTGAAATTTTAAGAAGCAGTTAAACATTCCTAAGTATCTTAGAATTACCTTTGCCTGCTAAATATGCCTGTGCTTTTTAGAATAGAATGGACTATTTTCATTATTACATATTGAGATAGTTTATGCTTGACAGGAAGCCAGGCATAATTTTTTTTGAGACAGTGTTTCTCTATGTAGTTCTGGCTGTCCTGGAGCTTGCTCTGTAGACCAGGCTGGCCTCAGATTCAGAGATCTGCCTGTCTCTGCCTCCTGAGTGCTGGGATTCATGGTGTGTCACCTCCACCTGGCCAGTTATAGCATTTTAACTTATAGTTATAACTGTTTTTATTTGTAGACTGCTGATTTACATTGCATCTGTACTTTTTTATTTCTTAGTGTGTTGACAAACAATGTATGTATTTCTGTCATGAAATTGATCAGCATCCTCTTTCGCTTATACACCAAAGTTTTTTTTTGAATGGCTGTTTGTTGCCAGGAACTTATCTAGATACAGCAAGATACCTAGAGGTTATAGAGCTGGATAAGAGAATGCTGAAATATCATCATAGCAAGTAGAGGTTGGGCAGGCCTCATTGGGAGGGTGACATTTGAGCAAAGCTTTGAAGGAGATGGCTGTGTAGGTAGGTGTCTAGGGAACTGGATGACAAGCAGATGGACCAGCAATGCAGAGGCCAGTGTGGCTGAAGCTGACAGGAGAGAACTGTACCATGGATAATATGGTGGAGATGGGGTGGCTGGGGAGGAGGTTACAAATGGCCCATGGGGCCATGTGAAAACTTTCATGGCACGTAGTAAACCTAAGCATTACATCATTCCAAGGTAAAAAAAAATCGATCTTTTAGAACTGTGTTATTTTTCTAAGACCTTATTTTTGCAGAGACAGGTTGGGAACCCTTGGTGTCAGGTGTATAAACAAATGCAGAGTGAAGGCTATTGCAAGATACTTTCTCTTTAGGAAGTTGGAGATCACAGGATTGCAAATGTGAAAGTTCTGATACTGTTCTACACATACCTTATGCTTTTTCATCATTTTTAACCTATGGCCCCTTTCTTCCTCTGACAGTCTTGAAGAGACCAGGGACTTCGATTGGAGCACATTTTTAGAAAACTGAATGAGCCACACAGATCCTAGCTAGAGTTTGGTTTCTGCAGGGTTTTGGCCTTAGATGTGTCCTCCTTTGTTTTATAAGTGGTACACATGCCCTGTAGAGGTCAGGATCTTAATATCATTCGTGTCCCTCTTCTGTGCACCTTTCCTTCAGGAGCCTTACAGGCCTTTCTATACCTCTCCACATTGTTTCCTACCAGTGTGACAGATGGCAAAATCGCTACAAGATTCTCAATAATTTTGGGATCGTTTCTCAAAAATCGTAAAGACCATATGATATTAGTGTTCAGTTATTGTCAGTGGTTACATCTGTTGTACGATCTATAGGCTCTTTAATGGTTTATTGACGGGTGCATAACATTTCTTTTTCGTTTGGCCATTGGTTTCTGTTTTAGTTTTGTATTCAGACAGTTCATCTGTAAGGTTATAACTCTTTGAAAGTTGCCTTGGCTTATGTATTATCAACTTTGGCAAACATTCCACATCAACTTGATGTTCTGATATTTCAACATAACATTTAACAGGCTGCTGAAATCGTCTCAGCTACGTCTCTGCTGGTAGACAATGTGCTTCCTGGATCTTCATATGAGGTCCAGGTGAGGAGCAAAAGACTGGATGGCTCAGGAGTCTGGAGTGACTGGAGCTCACCTCAAGTCTTTACCACACAAGGTAGGCCTTGTAAAGTTGCTCTGGAAATGCTCTCCCAGACTTTGCCTTTCTTATCATTGGTAACATCAGGGGCATCTTCAAATTTTATTTCCGGCAAACAAGAGGGGGAAATAATATGAACATTGTATGTAAAATTCTTTTTAGAGACGAGGTCTGGGTATATAGACTAGGCTGACTTTGAACTGGCATTCTTCCTGCCTCAGAGTCTCTTGAGTGCAGGGTTTATAGACATAGGTGCCTGTGCCCAGCTTCATTTTTCTTAAATCTCAAGCAGGCTAATCTGTTGATGGAAATTGCATATGAGTTCCTATGTATGTGCTTTTAAAACACTCTCTTATTGAATTCTTTTTTTTAATATGAAAAGAGAAATATTTAAGTTGGGCATGATAGCCCATGACTGTGCATTCAATATTATGAAGCATGAGGCAGGAGGAGGTTGAGTATTGAGGCCAGCCTTGACTATATAGTGGAAAACTTCAAAAAAGGTCCAAAGTTAATTTGAAATTTTCACTATAAGAACCCAGAGCATACCATTTATGTTGTTAGTTTTAAATTTATGTGTATAAATTTAACATAAACATAAGATGTTAAAAATGCTTAATTTTAGAGGTAGGTGGTGTGTGTGTGTGTGTGTGTGTGTGTGTGTGTGTGTTGAATTTGGCTGTCTTCCACTATAACTCTTCACTTTATTTTTTGAGATGGGGTCTCTTTCCGGTCCTGGAGCTTGCTGATTCAGCTGGACTAGCTGCCTGGGCCAGGTTCTAGGATTCTCTCATCTCTGCCTTCCAGGGTCAAGGTCACAGGCTCAGTGTTTTTTTGTGGCTTTGGGTTTCTGAGCTCAGATTCTCAGGCTTGTGCAGATTCTCTTCACTTACTGGTCCATCTCACCAGCCTGCTCTTGGAGTCTTCAGAATAAAGTCTTCACACTTTCAGAGTTGTTTTGTATAATTGCTTGGTGTATTTCTTTTTATTAGCTGTAATAAATACAAAAAGATGGGACAAAGAGCTCAGAGGCTATATAATTTCACGGGGGAAGAAAGAATTGTCTTCATTAGCCACATCCTAGGGTCTTGGTGCATGCATTCTAGGGGAAGGTGAACCTCTGATTTCTGGTAGAGGGTATTCATTCATGAAGCAAGGCATGCACATCAGTGCTCCTTGAGCAGAGGTCAGGCCAGTGGGCAGGCTCAAGGATGGTCTCAAATAAGGGAGAGGAGCTCCAGTTTCTGGAGGTGAGACTATAGGTAGGGATGGAGAGCCCTGCCCTGGTGGGTTCTGGCATTCCAGCAATGCTGGCAGTAGCAGCAACAGCAGCAGCTGCTATGGTGGGTATTTCTTTCTTATGTACTCATTGCCTGCTGGGATAGACTCAGGCTCCTTTCGCAAGGCCAGGTAATTTAGCAAGGATCTGGGGATTAAGATTACCAGTTGCCTTCCTAACCCCAGCATTTTTCGTAGTGCCACCAAATAGCACCAGGGCAATGCTAGTTATCTTTAGAAGGTGGCCTATCCACAATGGTGGATGCCATGTTTTCCCAATGCAGTGATAGCAGACCCAAAAACTGTTTTCTTTTTTCTTTTCCTTTCTTCCCATTCTCTGGCTGATTTTCATACTTTGGTTTGATCTCTAGATTCATAATAACTACAGAGGATCAAACTTGTATTTATGCCAAAAGACCTTGAGGGTTTCAGTGAAGATCAGCCATCTCGAAGGCTGCATGTCATTCTGTAGTCAGTGTGCTGCAATATCTTGCAACTGTTTCCTGAAGACATGTTTGCTGTTTCACGGTATTTGGTGTCAACAGTAAAATTTTGATTTTACCCCTACAGCAGGTTTTCCTACCAATAATCCAAGCTTGGCAGAAGCATAGAAGCTTTGCCCACAGTGGGTGGGTCCTGTTCTTTTCTTGGAATCTCCTCCCTTGATGTTTATAACTGCTTTAATAACCTGTTGTTATCACCTAAGAATGCCTGGCTCAGCTCTGCCTAGAAATCCATCCCAGAGCTTATTACTGCCAAGAATACTGTAGGTACAGCTGACACACTTGGATGTTCACTAAGGCTATCCTACATTTGACCTAGACTTCTACCTCTGGCACATGTGATTCAGCAGTCCTTTTCAGGTGTGAGTGATCTCTTGGGCTCTCTGTCTCACTGCAGTGACTCATAGACCTGTGTGTCTGGCCTCCAACCACCTCACTTCTCTGCCTACTTTCCAAGTTATTTTTAACATCAGAGAAACTGCAGTGTATTTACAGTTTTCTCAGAGAGGTGACATGTGGTGTTTCTCAGAGTCCAGAGAATCTTGTGTGGTTTCAACCCCTGCCACAGTTGACTTGTGAATTCAGGAAGACACTTAAATTGTGTCTTTGGTAGTCTGCTTGTTCAGTTTTATTCAGGTTCATTGTAGTTACACAGAAGTAGCAATGTAAAATGCTGAGGACGATCAATTCATTTTGTTCAACAAGTTTCCTTATTGATTACTTAGTATTTAAGAAGTGTTAATTAGTCAGAAAGCAAGTTGCATCAGTGTCTTAAAAGCATTGATTTTGGGGTCTACAAGTTTATGCAAGGACCAACATTGTGATTTCTTTGGAGAGGTTCTTAACCTTTCTGTGCCTCAATTTTCTTGTCTGTAAAATCAGGCTGTTTTTCCATGAATAGTGTAAAAATGATACAACAAAATGCTTATTACAGCACTTAGCTCTCAATAAACATTTAGTGAATTATCAGATACAATTTTAGTTTACAAATTCACAGCCTAGGTATTCAGCTTCTCAAAACCTAGAGATGGGAAGGTAGACACTAATTGCTTGATGTGAAGCGAGATTGTGAGAGGGAACAAAACTGAGTTTTGAACAATTGGCTCAGGGTAGGAGACTCAGGGGCCCAGGGCGTGAGGAGACTCATATGATGGTTTTATATCTTTATTCCTTAAATAAGTTTCTACTGTCCTTATGTATGTAGTAGGATGCTGATAATTTGTGTTTGAACTTTTTGATTATTTCCTAAGGGAAGCTGAATCTTCTATGATCTGGTCTTCCTGACCAGCTCAGCCCTATGAGTGACATGGAAGTGGAGACGGAAATGACAGTAAATCAGGTGGAGGCTTCTGTGTAGAGTTTGGGGCCAGGTGGGAAGGGAAGAGGAAAGCTGCACAAAGGAAATAGAAGGCCACCACGTCCCCTTCCCTGATAGTTTGTCTTTATTAACCACCGAGCAATGTGGAAATGTAGAAAGCCTTTGTTGTTGTTGTTTTATTTCATAATTAAAATGTAAACTTTCTCCTTCATAAAAAAGACTCGGTGTTAAAGAAATCAGTGTTGTTTTTCAGTTTCTAGGGTTCAAAGTTGAATATGAACGCTTTTCTAGAAACTTCATATAATATTCTGGTTGATCTGCTACATTTTTGATCAATATTTGATCTCATTCAGTTTAGGTCTTTAGGTGGATATGTTTCTAGTTCTGTTCTTCTTTACAATGTATGTCAATATCTGTAAGTTTAAATTTGCTTGATTCTTTTCAAATGCCAGCTCATATTTTGCATTCTCACATAATATTTTCAGATTACCTTACAAAGCAAACACACGCACGTATGCGCATGTGCACGTGTTCGCACACATACACATACACACACACACACACACAACTTTATTGGTCTGTTCGTTTGTGCTATAGCCAGTCAGGTGACTTTGAACAGCTAGACTGTTTTATTTATCTCTCCGGTGTATCTCTAACCTTCAAACATCCAAACAGAAACATATGCAAACAACAACAACAATAACAAAAAAAACCAAAAAGAAAACATGAATAAATAGCCACTGTTTAGTCAAAATTACCCCCCATAAAAATCAGTTTTAAAAGATGAAAAATTTATTTTGGCTCAACCTTGTTGCTCTGAGCCTGTGACAACATAGTTCATAACCAGTGAGAGACTATAGGAGAAAAAGTCTGTTCAAAGCAAAGAGAGATGAAGGAGCCTGGGTCCCAGTCTCTGTCATGGGCACACTTCCAGTCACCTGACTCCTTGCATGACACTGTCCCTCATGAAGCTCTCATAGATCCCAGCAGCTGAATAGGCTGGGTCCCAGCCTTCAGATTATGAGCCTTTGGAGGCATTTAAGATCTCAATATGATGCTGCCTACTAAACTCAGATGGCTCGGCTGCCTCTGAGGGCTGTAGGTGAGGATTAAGAGAAAGGACCTCACCTCATAAGAAACAAACTAAGACACTGGTGCTTGCAGTAGGAACAAAAACTTGTCCACTCATGTAACTCCCCCAAATATTTCTCTTGATGCTATCATTCATTGTGCTGATGTAATGGTCAGTGATGTGTGCTGAATCACAGTCTGTGTAAGCAGGCTCTCTGTTTTCTCTTTAAAGAAAAATCAGCATGTCTGCCCCTAGAATTAAAAAGTCTGTTTCCTGGGCTGTGAAAAACAAATGCTGAAAGAACTTTACCTAAAAATGCTTTGATTCATGGTCTGTATTTTTGAGTAGTTAATAACATTAATTCTTATCAGTAGAATATCCTCTTTTATTTGTTAATGTAGCTATTGTGAAGTTGTCAGTTTTTTTATGTTTTGCTTTATAAAGAAAGTTATAGCTGTCTCATTCCTCAAACTAAATGTTGCATAATATTTACTAGGATAATATTTGTGCTCTTTTACCAAATTAAGTATTCAGCATTTTTTCAAATGTTTCATCAAGTTTACTATAAATTTTTAGATCGTCACTTTTTTAATGTATGTATGTATGTATGTATGTGTTTATATATGTATATGACTGCTGTATTTGTATGTATGCCTGCATGACAGAAGAGGGCATCAGATCCCATTATAGATGGTTGTGAGCCACCATGTGGTTGGTGGGAATTGAGCTTAAGACCTCTGGAAAAGCAGCCAGTGTTTGTAACCCCTGAGCAATCACACCCCAGCTCCCAGACTGTCACTTTTTATTTTTGTCTTAAAGTTTAGATTTAAGCATTTGATCAGTTACAAACGGTATATATTTTAACTTTATTCCTCAATTAAGTCTCACCAGAAATATTTTATGTTGAACTAAAACACCTTGAGATTTTAAAAAGTAATCTGCAAATGATGAGCCTCAATTTGTGAAAGTTAATCTGTATCTTTCTAGAAAGTAAGCGTAACTCTGAGGCTTTGAGACAGTTAAAAGGTGAGACTGTGGAGCCTGAGTGGTTTTAGCATCTCTCAGGTGTGTGGCAGGCAGTAGTCATTAGTGAGTTTCATTCCCATGAAAGCTGCATGTCCTTGAGGCTGGGATTATACTCAGTCATGCCTATAATCTAGTGGCCTAGCTTCTGCCCAGTAATATGGTGTTCAGTGCTGTCTTGTTTCTGTTTACCGTAGATACACTTAGCACAAGTGTGCAGTATGCACAGTACATATAAAATCATTGCTGTAAAATTAGCATATTACAGAGCAAACCATTTACCGATTCAACTGCTTGTTAGAAGCCTTCATAACTATAAAGAAAACAATAGCAACACATTCCTTTTCTTCAGGATTTTGTGTCATAGTGACCTGTGCTAAGGACACATGCTACACGTGGGCTGGATAGATGGCTCAGTGCTCTTGTAGAGGTCTCTGAGTTTAATTCCCAGTAACCACATGGTGGCTCACAACCATCTGTAATGGGATCTGATGCCCTCTTCTGGTATGTCTGAAGGCAGTGACAGTGTACTCACATACATAAAATAAATAACTCTTAAAAAAAAAAAAGAAACCCACATGCTATGTTTTACTGATTGTCTTGAAATTTTAAAATTGTACTTATTTTGCATGCATACATGTGCCATGGCCCACATGTTGAGGTCATAGGACAACTCGCAGGGGTCAGTTCTCTCATTGTATTGTGTCAGTCCTATGGATTGAACTCGGCTCATCAGGCTTGGTGGCAGGTACCTTTACCTGCTAAGCCATCTCTCTAGTCCTCCTTTTCCCTTTATCATTTATTTACTTACTTAGTTTTCTGTGTGTGTCTGTATATGCACAGTCAGTTTTAATAGTCTGGTGGCAAGTGGATCACTGTGCAAGCGTGTGATGCTTCACTTAGTTAATTTTTCGTGTCGCTTGGAAGATGACAGTAGCTAAGACAAAGTTGCAAAGAATAAGCTCCATGTTTGGAAGCTTGTGCTTTTCATAGAGGCTGTGTTCATCCGAGAGCAGGGGTTCCTGCCGCTCTAAAGGGCTGTCCATAGCAGCAGCAAGATTCTCAGTGCACGGATTTGATTTTGGTAGGGTAACCAGGATGTGGCATCTCTTTCCTGTGGTAAGGCTGCTCACATGACGGTTTCTCTTCCCATCTAAACTCTCGCCTTTCTTTCTTCATTACAGATGTTCTGTATATTCCACCCAAGATTCTGACAAGTGTTGGATCAAATGCTTCCTTTCATTGCATCTACAAAAATGAAAACCAGATTATCTCCTCAAAACAGATAGTTTGGTGGATGAATCTAGCTGAGAAAATCCCTGAGATACAGTATAGCATTGTGAGTGACCGCGTTAGCAAAGTTACTTTCTCCAATCTGAAAGCCACCAGACCTCGAGGGAAGTTTACCTATGACGCAGTGTACTGCTGCAATGAGCAGGCATGCCATCACCGCTATGCTGAATTATATGTGATCGGTAAGAATCCCAGTGTCTCATCCACTTGGTCCTATGAGATCACTTGCTATCATGGACTGCATTAGAGTCCTAGTAAGGATGTGAGGAAAATGTTTTTTTTTCATGATTTTTGGTGTTTTTACTTTATATTAACATTTTAATGTGTTTTAAATAGATGTCAATATCAATATATCATGTGAAACTGACGGGTACTTAACTAAAATGACTTGCAGATGGTCACCCAGCACAATCCAATCACTAGTGGGAAGCACTGTGCAGTTGAGGTATCACAGGTATGTATTGTATTGGCTTCTTTGTTTTTCTCTGGGCATGACACAGTTAAATTTTCTGTTAATCTATTACTATAGCAGAAACCTGGTGCATTTTTCTCCTTGAGCAGAAGTTTGAATATAATTTATTAGAAAGATTGTGAGGAATTACATGGATTGTAATCTTGAAAACAATAACACCTGAGACTAAAAAAAGAAATGTATTTTGTTTTAACTTCATATTATCATGTTTACTAACCAAATTCCTGGAATTGCATTTTGACTCTTGAGTGACATGCAAGGGAATTATTTCATATACAATGCATTTTGACTCAGAGAATGGGCTAAAGTCAGCTGTGCACTATTTTAAAAAGCTAACATCATTGAGCTAAAGGTCAGTATTAGAAGAAAAGAGACGGAGGAACAAGATTCTACAGGATGTGATTGTCTGTTTGGTCTTTTTTTTTTTTTTTTTTAGAATGAAGTAAATTAAGTTAGAAAGCAAGCAGTAGTTAATAGGGGTAATGGGTTTTATTAAAGAGAAATTTGTACTCATTTACTTTTTACCTTTCTTTGTTTAAAAATAATTTAAGACATCTCTGAATAGTATCCCTCCTTAAGCAATGTCCCACTGGTGGGAAGAAGGGACATATATCCTTGTTTGTAAAGCCTCTCATGGTAATTGTCCAGTATGTTTGCTGTACTTATACTCTGTGTTCTGATATTTAAATTTCCATTGGAGAATTTCATTTTGTATAAGGCTACTCATTTATTCTAAAAATCTAAAATTTCAACCTGGAAAATATATCCCTTCTCTTCAATCCTGTAATCTGAGCTCTGTACCTTATGCTCTGAGTTGATTCTTCTGTGTTATTGGAAGAAAAAAATTTGAAATTTTGCATTACTTAGATGGGAAAAATTGGTGCCTTTATCCTATATACTGTGAATATTTTAACACCAATTGGAAGTTCGTGATAGGCTGTTTTAATAATATGTCTTTCCATGCATTCTCACATGCAAACATATGTCTGCAGAAAACCACTGACAAGCCCACAGCTCATTTACCGTCCTAACATTCACGGGATCACCATGAAACCAACTACAAACCCTTAATGAGTTCTTGAACCTCCCAAGTGCTAGTTTATGTGTTTGTTAAATGGAGAGGATGATTTATATGCCTTGGGGGGAAGTTAATGGCATTTCATTTTGTTGTAATTAAGTAATGTGACTCCGCCTAGAAAGCATTTCATTTGAGCAATCAATAAATGGTTACTACTGTCATGACAGTGAAGCTAACCATTTGCCACTGTGTTTCCGCACTGCTATTGTGTTACACACTGATGATTACACATCCGTCTGTCATTGCATTCTTCACCCATCATTAATTATCTGAACACACATGTGCGAGCAAACACACACACACACACACACACACACACACTGATAGCCTTGAGGAGAAAATATTACAAAGATGGTGAACGAGGAACAATTTTAGCGTTTTAGCTTTCTTTTTCTCTCTCCTTTTCATCTCTGTAGAGAGTCGTCAGAGCTTTAGTCATCGGAATACCATTTTCAAAGCAAATAGTGACAGCAGGGCTGTTTCTAAGAGAAGAAATGCTTTGTGTGCTGTGAGGAACTAGGTCAGGTTTGGTTATGACTCCTAATGTTTAAAGAATTTTCATTTCTGAGAAAATGAGTTTAAAAATGTAAAAAGAAAATGAGTAAAAAATGAAAAAAATAAAATGAGTGATTTTTTATTTTTTATTTTTTTGGGATTTGTGAAAGGGGTTGCGACCCACAAGTTGAGAACCAACACACAGAGGCTTGTATCATTGACATAATCGTTGAAGTAAAGATTAAAACTAGAACTGGAGGGACTCCTGGGGTGGAAGGAAAGCAGATTTTTGTTTGTTTGTTTCTTTCTTTTGTTTTTACTTTAAACAATGTGTTAAATTCCAACAGAAATGGAGAATGTAACTGGCAGTAATATTTGGATTGACTGACAGGGCTCGAATAGTTTCTAGTCCAAACTGATGTAGTGAAAACAATACTAAATCCCGATCCTTATGTGAATGCAGTTAGAAAATAGCACTGGAAGTCATCTTATGGTTGGGGGGTCAACGCAGCATGAGGAATTGTGTTAGAGTCGTGGCCTTAAGAAGGCTGAGAACCTTGCTCTAACGTAACCACCATAGTCCTGCAGCTCTGTGCTTAATTTACCTTCTTGCCAGGTCTTCTCACATCTGTCCTTTACCAGTCACCTCCCACACAGTGTTTTTATAGTCACTGTCTGTGGAAAGACTAAGATCCAGCTAGTGCTCAGAGCTCAAGAGGGCCTTTCTAACAACAGCACCACTCTTTAGATAGAGACAATGATCTCCATCAAACAACAAATCTGGATTCTAAATGTCTTTCTTTTTTAAATCAATACTACATACTAACTGGCTACTTTAACAAAAAATATCTTTTAAGGCGCAGCCTGTATTGTCCCGATAGTCCATCTGTTCATCCTACGTCTCAGCCCAAAAACTGCATCTTACAGAGAGATGGCTTTTATGAATGTGTTTTCCAGCCAATCTTTCTATTATCTGGCTATACGATGTGGATCAGGATCAACCATTCTTTAGGTTCACTTGAGTCTCCGCCAACGTGTGTCCTTCCTGACTCCGTAGGTACGTCAAACTATATTATGTATTTTCCTTAGATTTGGATGTCGTTTTCTAATTGCACTATATATTTTTTGTTGTTGTTTTGTTTTTCAAGACAGGGTTTCTCTGTGTAGCCCTGGCTGTCCTGGAACTCGCTCTGTAAGACCAGGCTGGCCTCGAACTCAGAAATCCGCCTGCCTTTGCCTCATAAGTGCTGGGATCAAAGGCGTGCGCCACCACTGCCCGGCTTGCACTATATTTTGAAGAAAAAAGATGTTTCTGTTTATAGAGTAATTGACCAGATGATTGGCTGTAGAAGCTGTCTAGTTTTGAGTGTTTATTACCATTTTGAATTAATTTTTATATTATTGGTAGCATGTTTGTTTATAAACATGGGTAATAGATTCATAGCAACTGCATATTTCCATATAGCACTTGATCTCATGTGTTGTTGTGAGAGCATTTTTATGAGGTCTCTAGTCTAGTTCTGAAAGAATTTGCTATTTTAACCTGAAAGTTTTATTTAATAATCTAAAGGCTTCAAGACTTTAACTTGAGAAGCTGGGTAAGAAACATTCAAAGTAGCTGAAGGAAGTGAAGAAAATTGATGCAGATGGTGAGGTTTATAATCTTAGGAGTTTCAAAAATTATCTTGAGATCAAAGGATTCAAAGAGTTGTTGAGACACTTAAGACATTTTTCCAAAGTTACTGCAGAATATTTTAGAAATGACTGACTATGGTCATGTCTTTTGTTGCTATACATTATTTTGCTAGGAAATTATGCCAAAAATCAGTATATTTTTTCATATTTTTTAAATTGGTTAGCACGCATTTGAAATAGAATCTGTATTTTGTTCACTAGAGAATGAATTTATTTTAACTATATCTGTTTTTTGATAAAGATGCCTACTTAATTGATTATCTTTTCCTTTGCATGATTCCAATGTAACTGTTTTTACTACACTTGGTATATTTCTTACTCAGTATTTCAGGGTAATAAAAGGCCATGAACATTCACATAGAACATGGAATCAACAACATGCTATCTAAAACAGTTTAAATCGGGCTCATCTTGCCTTAGGAAGATAGCAATGTGGAAATAAAGCTTTGGATGTAAACCTCCATGCAACCTCTTCCTAGTCTTTAAAACTTGGATCAGGCAGGAAAACATTCTGTATCACCCATCGTATTCCACTGACATGTGCATTGCTCTGGTCAATGTGGATACTTGGCAGTCACTGAATCTATCCATGTGATCCACTGAAGCACAACCAAAAAATTAACTCTTACACTGTCTTGAACGCTTGACATGTCCTTTCTTGGAAAGAAATGGCCTTTGCTAGGGTTAAACGTTTTATCATCTTCCTGGCATGGAGATGAATACTTTCATGAGTTGTGAGGACTTTAATGTTCATAAGAAACTACATACGAATGACAAACTTGAGACATTTTGTCCTGAATGGTCTAAAGTACTAGTGTTGTTTTCTTAAGTGATCAAACACTACTGCTCAAATAAGAGACTGCACATTTTGCACAATGATTGTTTTCAGAAGTGAGACTTGGAGGAAAAGAATGATGACCAACACTCATGTACAGTCCAGGTCTTCTATGTTCCCCGTTAATCAACGCTGTCCTGACTTACAGAGCTTGAGGGAGTCAGTGGGTTGAAGGGGTAGACCAGGAATGTCTACAGGGGTCTTTCCTAACTTCTCTGTACAATGCCTGTACATGGCCCTGATTGGGCCATTTTTCAATTTATGGTTTCTATTTCCTTCCAGCTTCTAGAGTTGTGTACTTCATATTTGAGTCAATGGCTATCTCACTTTGGATGCTTCAGTGGCAGAGGTGCCCATCAAAATAATCAAAGAAAAGGAGTATCCTGGCCATCATCCTAGAGACCTCGGGCTTGACCTCAAGTCAACCTGTTAGATTCTGACTTATGGCAGCTGTGGAGGGGAGCCTATGGGATCTGAGATAGGAGGGAATGCCCTTTGGAGAAAAGTTCCTTACCAGATAGTGTGAAAGTACAGTACTTAAGCAATTTAACATGTTGCTATGGCAGTGGAAGCCATTGCTTCATTCATGGCGTGCACCCCACAGTAAAGACAAGACTTTAAAAAGGATATTGTTTATAAGATATAATGATGGTTAATATTGCTATTTAAGTTACTATTACATAATGTTATTATTTATTTATTTTTAATTTTTTTTTTAGTAAAACCATTACCTCCATCTAATGTAAAAGCAGAGATTACTATAAACACTGGATTGTTGAAAGTATCTTGGGAAAAGCCAGTCTTTCCAGAGAATAACCTTCAGTTCCAGATTCGATATGGCTTAAGTGGAAAAGAAATACAGTGGAAGGTACCTTTTATTTCAAATCGATTTTCTCTCGTTCTCTCTGTAAATTGGAGTCTCTATAGTGCAGGCTAACCCCAAAGTCATTCTGTAGCTCAGGCTGGCTTAGAACTTATGAACCCCTGCTGCTTAGGCTTTTCAAGTCCTGGGACTACTAGATGCTATTTAAGTGTTTTGTGAGCATATATTAATCATACTTAATAATGGGTTTTATTGTGATATTTTCATCCACGTAGTGTATTTTGATCATATTCACCCCCTCTTACCACCTCTTGTTCCCCTACTACTGAGCCCCTTCCTCTTGCTAGCTAGTTGTCATTCTACATTTTTGGTAAGTTTTTTTTTCCCCACAGGAGCATGGGCAGCTTATCAGCAACTGTATCACCAAAGAAAATGTCTCATCTTCCCCCAGCAACAGTATACTCCTCAGGGAGAAGTGGGGGAGGGTGTTGTGAGCCCCTATCCCTACCATGACCAATCTCATGTATGTCTCAGGCAGGTGTCACAGCTGCAGAGAATCAACCACGCATCAGCATCTTAGCATTATTCCTGGCATACAAAGACAGAGTATACTTTCCTCTACTGTGTAGTTACTTTCATTACATAGATTGTCAAAGTTTAATCTCTGTAAAGAACAAAATGTCATGATCCAGAATTTCCCAAAGGATTCTTGACAGGACATTTTCCCAATGAAATGTTCTGTGAAAAAGAGACTGCATGGTTAAACAGGCTGAGGAAACCCTGCCTCACCCTGTACCTTTCTATTGTAGAGATGTACTTTATGACATTAAATGTTTGGAAAAGGCTGCTTTGAAGAAACATTTGGCATATTGCATCCTCTTTACCCACACTCATTTTTCTTTTCAGGGGCCAACATTTCTTTTAAGGTCTTTTGATAGCATTCAGCATATGTACACACAGGCATTTTGATAGAGGCTACTTTTCTTTAACAATCAGTGCTGAGTGTGCATATGGGAAACTTGGTTTTGCAGCTTGCTAAATCTGGAAATACAAGAAACCCTGATTACATCATTAGCACACTGACCTCGTTTCAGTCTATGTGAGTCCTACTCACTTGATTCTCTAGAGAGAGCCCTGTCTGACCACCATGTTAGAATTCTTATTTTTGTGTTAGAGAGGGGACCAGAGGACAAGCATTAGCAGCAGGATGACAGAGTGTTTGGAACTGATCTTGCAAGGGCAGCAAGTTCACAAGGGAATGAGCCGAGGTGGGAGGCAGCATTCCTTTGGTTAGCTGAACTTTGTGATTTCTGAAGTGGGAAAATATAACATCATTCAGTCTTAAGTTCAGAATAGTGTTACAGTTTAAAATGAAAACACACTTCAGGACTCACAGGAGACAGGTATGTTGACAGTGTGACTTCCTTTACAGACACATGAGATATTCGATGCAAAATCAAAGTCTGCCAGCCTGCCGGTGTCAGACCTCTGTGCAGTCTATGTGGTACAGGTTCGCTGCCGGCGGTTGGATGGACTAGGGTACTGGAGTAATTGGAGCAGTCCAGCCTACACCCTTGTCATGGATGTAAAAGGTCTGTGAACATTTGTTAAACTTTCTTGAGAATGCAGAAGCATATGCTTCAAATGTTACTGAAAACATTTCTCTTGAGAACATGTGTCTGACTCAGACTTCTTATTACTTTGCAGTTCCTATGAGAGGGCCTGAATTTTGGAGAATAATGGATGGGGACGTTACTAAAAAGGAGAGAAATGTCACCTTGCTTTGGAAGGTATTTCTAATTTTTACCTTTTATTTTATTCTGAGCTTAATGTTTGTCTCTACTTTGTTCATAGTCCTGTCATTACCTCACAAATGACCCCCAGATCTTACGTTTTAATGCATTTTGGGGATGTGGCTGACTATCTGGAGTATTGACATCGTCAGGAGCCTTTATTATTTTCTCAGTTCAATTATAATTGTGTCACTGCAATTTTGGCAAAATCTTGAACTCTTTGGGCTTCACATTTGTTATCTGCATCAGGGTTAATATTACTAAGTGATAATTAATGTTGCTTTAAGTCCATAACTAGATTTCAGCTGAATGCTGAACAATGTAAACATGGTTCTTCCCTCACACTTCAAGTCCGCAAGATGTAAGAAAGTATTTGGCCTATGTGGTGGCATAGGCTGAGTGTTTTCCATTATGATGGATGATCAACTTGGAAATGCCGAAGTAGTCATTCTCCTAAAGACCTGATTTCTATCTCAAGTAAATAATTTCATCACTAGACATTAAGTTGAAGACTGATTTAGGAATAATATGCATGAGGTAGGCAATGTTGTGTTTATTATATAAATGTGAAATGAAATTCTCTTCCGAAGAGGAAGTTAATGCATGTTTTAAAATGATTTTGTAATCTAAGACCAATTCCCATTTAAAAATTGGGCTATTTAAGAGTTTATGTATACTTAGTTTGTAATTCCAGTTACTATATGATTTTGTTCACGTGATAAAGTACTTTCTAAATGGTCATTTTGACCTTTTCACTTGAAAGTGATATTAGGAATTGGCAGTGGTATTTGTTAGATATTGAGTGTTCCTGTACAGAGGAATAGACAGTGACATTGCTCAGCCATTGCTAGGGTCAGATACAAACAGAATCTAAGTAGCTTTTCTTTATCTTCATCTTTATCTATCTTTGTCCTCATAGCTATCACTACTACCCCATGCACCAGGCTAGAGTCAACCTCCTTCCTCATACTCCCATCATGCCCTTGAACAGAACAATGGCTTTTCTTTCCAGATAGTTCCCATTCTTTCTTATTCCTGGCTCCCATGTTTCCTTAGTGACGTTGCCTGATGGAACGTTCTGTAACTGCAAGAACAGTTTGTATGTACTTTTTCCAACATGGCAGCCTCTGTGGCTTTATGACTTGAGTTGTGTCCAGTGTGATGTAAAAACCTAAGTTTTCACTTTTTACTTAATTTAATTGGCTGAAATTTAAATGGTCACAAGTATCTGGCGACTGTCTTATTGGAGAATAGAATGATATAGGTTCCTTGGGGTTGATCTGAAGACAGGGATAGCACCTTAACTCACCTGCTGACTCTCAAAGTATTTTGAAGGCCTTTCCTTGGATGGACTATCTATCATCCTTCACTAGCTCACTTTCTGTTTTGTGTTCCTTTGGTTTCCTAACCTGAGTAGTGTTTCAGTGGTTATGGTCCCTGTGTTAGTTATGAGTTGCCTCACTAACCAAGTACATGTGATAAACAGCTTGTGAGGAAGAAAGGTTTACCTTGGCTAAGGACTTAAAAGCTCTGTGTTATGTTGGTGCCATACTTTGGAACCATTATTATTATTATGGGAGCACAAGACACCCTTATTGAAAGGAAATCATGGGTTTATATAAGCATAAGCAGGGGGATGCAGCTGAAGACACTTTACCAAGTGCACCTTGCAGCTGGGGGCAATAAACAACAAAACAAGATATGTGAGAAAAACAAGATGCTTATCAGAGTGTGCTCAGCTGTTGCGGGCTGTTGAAAACAAGTGTCTTGTCAGGGTATATGGCCTAAGATGGCTGGAAAGATGATAGCTGCTTTCTGCTCGGAGTTGGCTCCCAACAGACTCCCACAAGTTGTCTTCTGACTTCCACATGAGTGCCACACACACATTTACACCATAAATGAATAAATAAATAAATAAATAAATAAGTAAATGTAATTTTAAAAATGAATAAAAGCAATTTCTCTGTCCTTTTTACATCTAAAACTTTTAGGATAGTTTTATACTTATAGGAAAATAGCCAAGAACATAAAGAATTTTGTCAAATCCCCATATTCTGTTTTCTCTATGAATAATACTTTACATTAATATACCATATTTGTTGGTTAATTAAAAAATCTGATGTCATTATAATTAAAGTTCATAACTGATTCCAGGCAAGCTGGAATTTTGTATAATTTCTCCCAAATATTCTGATGTTAGCTCATGATTAGATTCCCACGTGGGGCTTTGGGTACAGAGTACACATTTTTAATGCAATGTTTTGTCATGCTAGAATAAAGCTACATACCATCTCAGGGTAGCTGAGCTGATGTGACTCTAGCTGAGGTGGCTTTGGGAATGGTGTAGCCTCTTACTGTGCAGTGACTTTCTCCCTTTCTGTGTTGTGTGCTTTGGAATGAAGTCACTGTGACAAACTGCTGCTGAAGAGTGAGGGTTAGGTTTCTCTCTGTGAGTGGAAAATCTATAAAAATGATTTAACATTCCTTTTCAAGGCTGACTATGGTGCATCAGATTTATTTACCCAATTATTGATGTCCGTGAGGACTGTGAGCATTTAGTTATGCTGTTGGGTCTAATATGTATGGAGGTTTTGTTTGTGTTTGTGTTTTTTTCAGAAATACTTCAGATATTGTAGGTTTTGGATTTTGGAATACTTGTACAGTCTTTACCAGTAAAATATTTTTAATTAAGCATTAGAATTTCACAATTCGAAATGCTCTGATATCTGAAACCTCTCGGGCATTATGTTAACACTATGAATCTTGAGTTGTAGCACACAATCTAGGTAGCAGATCTAGAGATGCTTAGCCTGAACTATTTTATTACATTTTTAAAGTTTTCCTACTTCAGTCATTCAAGACTCTTTGAATTGAGCCTTTGTCTCTCACACATCCCCATCCTGGGAGATATTATTTAAAAAACAAAACAAAACAAAACAAAACAAAACAAAAGCAAAGTAAAACAAAACCAAAAATGGGACAAAAATTTTTATATTAATTTATTTGTTGTCCATTTATTGTGTGCTCTCTGGACACTTGAGTACATCTGATACATGTGTGGGGTCAGAGAGAGGACAATTTACCAAAATTGATTCTCTCTCCATCACATGATTCTGGCGATCAAACTCAAGCAGTCAAGTTTGTTGACAAAATGATTTATTCTAGCAATCTCTCCAACACTATGGTCAGTCTTTCAATGTTAGTAAGTTGAAGTTTATTAAAGTAAATTCTGACCTTGGAAAGATGGTCAAGAGAATAAAAAGTTCATTGTAGCAAGGACACTTCAGCTTCAACAATAAGAAAACAAATAGCCCAACAAAAACATGAACCAAATATCTGAATAGGAACTTAACCAAAGCAGACCCACAGGTGAGAAATAAAAAAGACAAGAAAGTTCTCAACACTGCTTGTCATTGTTGGGGAGTTATAAATTAAAACAGCAATGGGGAACAATTCCATATCTATGAGAATGGGTAGTTATTTTTAAAGGTATTTCAAATTGCTGATTGAGAATACAGAACAGTAAGAAACTTGGTTTGTTACTAGTAGAAATGCAAACTTGTGCAGTCATCTTGCAAGCTAAATGTAGTCTTACTGCATGCTCATAGATGCTTCTCTGGGTGAGTTGAAAACTCTCTACATGAAAACTTGCATGTGAGTTATTCAGGCCACTACACTCATAATTATTATTCAAAAGTGAGACTCTTCTATGAAAAATTGAAACGGTAGGCATACAACACTACGCATTTGCCTAAACCAAAAATTTCATAGATCAAAGATTAAATCTTAAAATACATAAATTTAAAAAATTCATAGATTGGAGGATTTGAGGGTGTGTCATACAGATTGTGACTAGGTTATCTCTATCACAGGTGTGTGAATGTACCTCACTGAGAGTGGCAATGGCAAGGGCTTAATTAACTTTGGAAATGAGTCTGAATGAAGAGTCTGAAGTATGGAAGATGAAGGATACTATACAGATACATCAGAGCTGTACATTTCTTCCAGGGATGTAGGCTAGCAGTTATTTCATCAGTATATGTCTATTTTAGAATGGAAGAATTAGGAAGATGAATGGAGGTGAGCCTGTGTCTTTCACTGCTCTCCTGGGATGCTTCAGAGTCGCAAAAGTGTCAGCCAGAATTCTTGTAGTCATAGATTGGAGTTAGAGATGAACATAAATTCATACTAAGCCTAGGTGGCTTCTTACAGAAATAGTTAAAGATATGTATATATAGGCAAGTATACATGCATATAATTCTTGATTTTGTAAGCTAAGAGGACCTAATCATTAAGATAGTCCTGGAGGAAAGAATGTTTCTAACACCATTATTCAGTCAAAAAAATTAGGACTTGAAAGAAATGCTCATTTTAGTGTTGGGGAAATAAATGTACAGATGAACCATGAGAATCTTGTAATATCTTTAATTTTCAACTTATGATTGCAAAAATAAATATGAAAACATCAAAATGACATGGATTTTTCAAATAAAATCAAACGTGTTTCCTCAGAGACTTTCTTCTCTTATGATGGCTGCTTACACCGTACTTCTACCCTATGACCCACGGGGTCCCACCCACGCGGGATACATGCATCTGTATGAGAGTGTCTGTCACTCCTAACTCCGAGACACTTGTTTGAGTCTATGTTATAAAATTCAGCTTGAGGAAGCTTTCTGAGGGATTGGCGACATTCAATTTTACCTGTAATAGGTAAAGATAATCATTTGGGAAGTGAAGAGTAGTGTTAGACTCTTCAGAATGAACAAACAGGATTGGAGCTGGTATGTGTTCTACACAGCAATCTTCCATAACACAGAATAATTTATATAGATACAGACATGATGGAAATGCCAAGGGCCCCAAATAGATGCTGTTATTTGCTAGCCTTCAAGGTTTTCTGTTTGTTAGTCTGTTTTGTAAAAACTCTTCTTTGCTCAGGATCATCTTCCAAGCACATCCTGGGGGAAGAGTAGCAGATTTACTTGAGTTCACAAAATGGTGGTGACATCTGATCTTCCTTGTTTCTTTGCAGGACATAAGCAGTTCTTTTACTTGCTTGTTAGATGAGGAAACTTCCTTGTCAGTCTTTCTCTATGATTAGAGTGGAAATCCTTAGTACTTCCTATGTATTCTTAATATTTCAAATGTCCTAATTGTGTTTTATATCACCGTCTTTAAGGGATTTAGTCTCTGGATTTGAAGAAAAAAAATCAAAAATGGAAAACTAATTTCCCTGTGCTGGAAGACTGCTAGCTGAGGCCCTACTGCATTGTACATTTCGACTCTACCCCTCTCCTCCAGTGCCTTAGTACTAGACTGGGCAGTTCCTGGCCTGGTCTAACTCCTGTTTTCTGGTGGGAATATGTAATCAGAACTCCAAGAGTTCTGGTATAAACACTGTGGTCTGTGTGCTAATTAAATCTTGTGTTTCCTACAGCCCCTGACGAAAAATGACTCGCTGTGTAGTGTGAGGAGGTATGTGGTGAAGCATCATACTGTCCACAATGGCACATGGTCGGAAGATGTGGGAAATCAGACCAATCTCACTTTCCTGTGGACAGAACCAGCACACACTGTTACAGTTCTGGCCATCAATTCCATTGGTGCTTCCCTGGTGAATTTTAACCTTACATTCTCATGGCCCATGAGTAAAGGTAAGAAGAGATGTTGGGTAGTAGTTGACTACCCCAGTCAATTTATTTATTTTTATGATGGCTTATGCAGAATCCTCTTATTTATTATTATTGTTTCAGCAACACTGTTAAATTGTGGTGTGACCTACTGGGATGACTCTTCTACAGCACTACATCTATATCATTCTTGCCCCCCCCCCCCAGTTCTTCTCATGAACTCCTTCCAAAATTCACGATCTCTTCTTTTGTTGAATGTTATACACACACATAATACAACTTAATAAGTCAATTTAGCTTTGCTCATATGTACATGTGTTCAAGGCTGGCCACTTGGGATTAGTCAATCTGTGAGGGAACTCATCCATGGAGGAGATTGAGTCTTCCTCTCTCAGTAGACACTGAACATCTGTAGCTCTTCATCTAGGGGTGGGACCATATGGAATTTCACCCAACTCATTGGCATGTCAACTGGTGCTGCCATTTATGCTGGTCTTGTTCAGGTAGCCATATTGTTTAGAGTTCATGTCTAGGGGACTCTATCAACAGTAGACGTCCTGGGCCTCTGGCTCCTACAGTCTTTCTTTCTTGTCTTCCATGATTTCCTCTGAGCCTTAGTTACACAGATTGCACTGCAGACATATTAGTTGGGGTTGGACACCCCCTTTTAGTATGTAACCTCTCTACAGGCTTTCTTATCTAACTTATCTTCTGAGTGGTCCAAGATCCACTTCTACGCTTACTCTCCTCTCTGTGTGAGAAATATATTGTAAACAAAAAACCAACTATGTTCATATGGACAAGATTTCTGAAATGGCATTATCAGCAATAGAAAACTCTAGTGAATATAATACTTAAAGTCTTTGAAGTAAAGGTGGGCCACACTCACTCTAAAAATTACAATATTGAGCATTTTATATATAAATTAAGATATTTTGTTACATATAGTTTTCTATAAGTACATGCTATATATACTATGGTATATATTTGCATGTAGTATATTTAAAGCTTTTACTATAGTTATAAAATACTATAGATTTTGGTAATAGTATGATAGGTTATATGGATTCAAATTAATTCCTGAGACTTGGAAACTGTTATGGAATTTATTTGATGCAAGTAGGTGGGCAGCTACCCTTTAGCAATGTTAGCACGTTTGATTATTCTGAGCATTGATGCTTTCTTTTAAAAATATATTTTAAAACTAATTAATTTTAGAGAAATGCACATGCCAGAGTATGTATGTGGAAGTCAGAGGACAACTTGTGGGAGTTAGTTCTCTCCTTCCAACATGTGGACCCTAGGAAATCTAACTGAGGTTGTTAGGGTAGATGAAAGTGCCCTTACCTGCTGGGCCATCTTCCTTGCCTAAGAACCACTCTCAATTGGAGCTTCTAATCTGGATTATGTGTTGGAAATATCATTTTAAATAGAAAATAGTCATTTCTGGTATCTCTACCAATCTTATAACCTTTCATGAAGTCTTATCGTTTGAGTATGTTGCATCTCCTCTTTAAAGTCCAGGGCACATTCTAAATTTACAAGGATAATTTATTTTTTTTTAACTAAAACTTTGTGAGTGTGTGCATGTCTGGTGTGCATGGGCACACATATCACAGTGTGTGTGTGTGTGTGTGTGTGTGTGTGTGCGCGAGTGTGTGTAAGTCAGAGGACAACTTAATGGAGTTGATTTCACCTTCCACCTTTACGTAGGCCTTGGAGATTGAAATAGGATCTCATTATGTAGCTCTGGCTGGCCTGAAACTCACTATGTAGATCAGTCTAGCCTTAAACTCATAAAGATTTGCTTGTGTCTCTATCCTGTCAATGGTGAGATAGAAGGCATGTGCCACCATGCCTGGGCAGGAATATGATTTTTTTTTTTGAAAGAAAGTAAACAGGAGTTTGATATTGGAATGAGGACACAGAAAGCTTCTTGAGGGAATGCTGTTGATTGGGAAGTAAGTTTCCTCCCATGAGTTTGGGGTGGAGAAGTCTTAGCTTCTAGTAGATGCACACCTGGTCAGGTTTTCACCTCTCAGAGGAAGAGATGAAGGAAAACAAGGGTGACTTCTGCATAGAAAAAAAACACTCAGCAGAGAGCGGGTTGAGATAGGGCCTGTGATGGCCTCCTCAGATGTGGAACTCCACCAAGGATTTCTGAAGGACTCTTCTAAGGACATTAGTTGAAAGTGTCACTCACCAGTGTGAGAGAAGAGAGTGGGAATGAGAGAGTATAGTTGATAGACTTGTGTGAGATTATAGCTGAGAACAATTTTGACCCTATCAAAGTTCCATTTTTAAATTTGGGGTAGAATAACTTTTCTTCTCTGTGTCATAGACTCCTGAATTCTGCTTGTGTTATATTCATGACATTTATATACATTGTCTGCCTTCTCTTCTATCTCCATTCCTCTGTGTTGTTTCTCAAGGCAGGTAGTACATTTTCCTTCATCTTGAATTTAAAATAAATTTCTTCTCTTCCCCTCAGTGAGTGCTGTGGAATCACTCAGTGCTTATCCCTTGAGCAGCAACTGTGTCATTCTTTCCTGGACACTGTCACCTGATGATTATAGTCTGTTATACCTGGTTATTGAATGGAAGATCCTCAGTGAAGATGACGGAATGAAATGGCTTAGAATCCCCTCAAATGTTAAAAAGTATTATATCTACGGTATGTGTACTGTAATTGTCATGGATTAGTATGACACTATAGACTGGCAATTCTGATAATAAAGCATTTAATGACAACCTCAAAATAAGAATGCCAAGTTACCAGCTGAATTATAATCTTCTTGCCTGGTCAGAATGTTTGCTGTATTTCTGTGAGCATTTTTCTTTTATGTTTTACATAGATGCAATTAGATGTCCTAAACCCTCTCTCCAACTCTTTCTGTCAGAATGTGACACTTGTATAACTTTTAATAAGTATACATAAGATATTTCTTTAGTTGAGTTCATGTTGCTTCTGTCTTATGTTTTAGTGTCGTATAAGATCTAATGCCAAATTTCCCTCCAACTCAGTACCCAATTATAATGTCACTAAGCAGTGACTGGGAGGTCTAGCCTGGAAGTCTGAGGACTTTGAACCTGCTGGCCTAGGTCAGATTTATCCCTCCAAGAGTGGCCAGTTACCTTGAGAAGTGTCTAGAACAGCAACAGCTCCAAACAGAGCCAGAAGGAAGGGGGGAGGATTAAGTAGGGAGGCTGGGGGTTGCTTACTTACACAATCCAGATGACCCACACTTTCCTTTTACTCTTAACACCTACAATTTAGCCTCAGGCTAAATTTCTTTATAACGTATAGGCAGGGAAACACATTTACTGTCATTGCTGTTGGTAGTTACTCTATACTGTAATTCAGAGGAAGGATGAGTGCAGAGCTCTCAGAGCTATGCTGCTTATGGGCTGCTGGTCTCACATAACTAGTATCGACAAGAATCATTGCCAGATCTGTCTTGAACATTGCTCTGGGAATTGTCATTTCCCACTTTGAGATCCTGAGGCAGCACAAGAAAACTCTTTGTCTTCATTCCATTCTTTGTGTGACTTTTGCAGGCTACTTCCAATGGGAAAACTAAGTAAACTAAATTTACATAGAATGAAAATCTTCCCTACTCTGAATATAGGAGTATATCAGATCAAAATATCATCATTTCTGGTGATAGGAAAAGGGAGAACATGCTATTTTAGAATAGGAAATTCAGGAACAAAAGAAAACATGCTTTGAACTTGAGCAAATTAGCTCTTCCTGGAACATGTCCTTGGAAAACTAGTCATTTGTGTCTTAGGAGTTTTGAAAACTTATTTAAAAATTAATATCCTTACACACAAACTTTGGAGTGTTTAGGTTATTTCTGAAATTCCTTTAGCCATTGTGGTTGTTTAAATATGCTTGGGTCTAAGGGAGTGGTAGTTAAATAAGGAGGTGTGGCCTTGTTGGAGGAAGTGTGTCACTGTGGAGGTGGGCCTTGGAATTCTCCTATACTCAGGCTCCACTCATTGTGGAAGAGAGCTTCCTCCTAGCTTCGTGAGGATGCCAGTCTCTCCTGGTTACCTTCAAATCAAGATGCAGAACTCCCAGCTCCTTCTCCAGCACAATGTCTGCCTGCATGCTGCCATGCTTCCTGCTATGATAAGAATGGATTAAACCTCTGAAACCGTAAGCCAGTCCCAATAAAATGTTTGACTTTGTAAGAGTTGCCTTGGTCATGGTGTCTCTTCATAGCAATGGAAACCTTAACTAAAACAGAAGTTGGTACCAGCGATTGGGGTATTGCTGTGTGGTCTAACCATGCTTTTGTTTGGAGGAATGTGGATTTTGAGACTTCAGAAAGCAGTTAAATGCTTTAAGTGGGGTATAGTGGGCCATTTTTGTAGGAGTATGGAAGGCAGTAGTACAGAGGGTGATTTGAACTGTGGAAGTCTGACTCTAGAGGTTTCTGAGACGAGTCTCAGTATGTAGCCTAGAGACTGTTCTTGTAATATTTTGGTGAAGAATGTGGCTGTGCTTTGCCCTTGTCTGAAGAGTCTGCCTGAGGCTAAGGTGAAGAGATTCAGAATAATTGCATTGACAAAGGAAGTCCCAGAAAAGCCTAGCATAGACTTTGCCCTCTGTTTTTAATTTCATGAAGAGTCAATCAAGTATATCAAGCTTAGAAAGAAAAAAATATAAAATATATGGTTCATGTAATAAAAGGACACCAGGAAGTTCAATGGAGGGCACACCTGTGATCCAGATTTTGAGGTTGGAAAACAGGCTTTCTTTCTAGGTCTTGAGGAATAGAAGCCATGAAAAGCTTATACCCGGGTATGGTGGTACATGCCTTTAATCCCAGGAGACAGAGGCAAGCAGTTCAAGGCCAGCCTGGTACAGAGCAAGTTTCAAGTAGAAAAAAGCTTAGATCTAGGAGTGGTGGTACACACTTTTAAACCCAGAACTCATGAGACAGAGGCATGCACATCTCTGAGTTCAAAGTTCATCTACACGGCAAGTTATAATACAGCCAAGCTTAGGCAGTGAGGGAGTTAGAAAACAAACAACTGGTGATGAAATAAAACAAAGGGGGCTTGTTCCAGTTCCAGGAAGACCTCTGCAGCTTTGGCCATGAAGCTCTAGCCTTAGAGTCAATAATAGAAGGAGTTACTGGGACAGTTGATTCGGGTTATCTGGAGCTTGGAAATTAGTGGTGATTAAGAAGAGACCAGCATCACAGAGGCGAAATCTGCGAAGGTGTTTTCCGAGATCACAAAGAAGCTGTGTTCCAGAGATAGCCAAGGTTGTACCTTATACTGCAGCTGGACATGATAATATATAAGAATCACCCAGGTGGTACTGGTTTTGGAGGCATGAAGGGGTAATGGAGAGCAGCTGAGACTTGGCACTGTAAGAGGCCAGGAAAGGCCATTGTTGAATGTGAAGCCTCAGTTGCAGTTGATGTCTCAGGACTGAAGGGGTCATGCAAAGATTTTGAGGCTTAGCACCATGAAGGGAGCCTATAAGAGGCCCATTTGTAGTGGAAGACCCCAGTGTATTGAAGATGCCAGTGCCATGGGATAAACACCAAGAGCAGCAACAGTGAAGTACAGTCAACCTGAGCGTAGAGTTCTACAGATGGCAGAGGTGGAGATGTGACCCTTTGAAGAGGTCAGAAGATCATGTGTGAATCCTAGACACTGGAACAAGAAGCTATAAAGTTGAAGTTGCCTTGGAGACCCCAAAATATTAGATTTGTCAGAGCTATGGGATACGTGCCAAGAAAAGCTGCTAACAGGGAGTGGAACCAGCTTACAAGAATGAAGTTTGTTGCTGCTGAATGCCAGATCTGCAAACAGAGAATGAAAAGAGTGGGAGATCTGAAGGGTTTTTTGATATCGGACATGGAGACGTGGAGTTTAGAGTTTGACCAGCTGGGTTTTGGTCTTGCTTTAGTTCAGTATTTCTTCACTATGGCATTTTGGAATGATAGTGTATATCCTGTGCTATGATATGTTAAATGTATCCGATGTGGTTTTGATTTTGATTTTATAGGGGAATATAATTAAGAAATTGCATAGACTTTGGACTTTTAATTTTTAAATACTGATAAGACTGACTAATTGTATTTTGCATTATGTTATGCTTAGGTGTGGCCCTCATAATAGGCTCATGTGTTTGAACAAGCCTATGGGGCCAGGGAGTGGAATTCGGTGGTTTGAGTATGCTTGGCCCATAGGGAATGGTACTGTTAGGAGGTGTGGCTTTGTAGAGGAAGTGTGTCACTGTGGGGTGGGCTTTGGAGGTCTCCTCCTATGCTCAGGCTCCACCCACTGTGGAAGAGAGCTTCCTCCTAACTGCCTGAGGATGCCAGTCTCTCCTGGTTGCCTTCAAATCAAGATGCAGAACTCCCAGCTCCTTCTCCAGCACAATGTCTGCCTGCATGCTGCCATGCTTCCTGCTATGATGAGAATGGATTAAACCTCTGAAACTGTAAGCCAGTTCCAATTTGAGTGTTTAAGAGTTTCCTTCGTCATGATGTCTCTTCATAGCAATGGAAACCCTAACTTAGATAGCCATCAAGCCAACCCTTAAGTAATGACTAATGTTCAGACAGAATAGCCTGCAGTTTTCTCTATAGGTTTCATTTTTAATTAACATGAACTTTTCTCTTTTCAGATAATTTTATTCCCATAGAGAAATATCAGTTTAGTCTTTACCCAGTATTTATGGAAGGAGTTGGAAAACCAAAGATAATTAATGGTTTCACCAAAGGTAAAAAAAAAAAATCTATATTCTTTTTAAAAACGTATTTGTGTATGCTACAGGTGCTAGTGTTGATGTTCTGCCCATGTGCCTCACACCCAAGTAGAGGTCAGTACCCCTCTCCTACTCCAAGTCCTGGAGACTGAACTCAGGTCTTTAGGATTGCATACACATGATTTCACTACTGAGGTGACTCCCTGGCCCTACTCTACTTTTCTTTTCAGTGTGTACTTCGAGGTTTGTCAGTAGTTAGGCTATCACTGGATAATTCCTTCCTCATAGGATCATGGAAGAGCTACATGTGTCATTGGGATGTTCAAGGAAATTTATTTATTTATTTATTTATTTATTTATTTATTTATTTATTTATGGTTTGGAATTGGTTAGTTATATTCACCAGGCTCTTATGTTTAGATTACTGCACTTACCCATGTTTTAATTTTTATTTCTTCTTAAGATATTAAACCCAAGTAACCCAATGATAGAGTTTCAAAGTGAGGCATTTTAATGGCTTGTGGAATTATCATAATTTATTATTGAGCAAGTATATGTTGAATATGTTCCATAGACTGGAGACCCAGTGGTGAACATAAGTCTGTCTTTGTGAAACTTAGGTCTCATTGTTTCCCAGACAGTGACGGTCAGTGAATGCTTTATTTAAGACATAGCACCAGGTGAAAGTCAGTGCTTTGAAGGGAAATACAGTGAGTATAAGACAGAGAGTTAAGATGTGGCAAAAAAAGGATGGAGACAATCTTTTGGTTTGCTCCTCTCTGAGCCCAGAAGGGAAGAACACTGTAAGCTGGGGTGCCACATCCTACACCCTGTGTGAATGTGGTAGCTGAAGCAGCATCAAGAGCATCAGGAAAGAATGGTTCATGCAAAGAACCAGAGGCTTTAAGCAACAAAGGTTCAAGTGTGTCTACAGGTAAAAAATGAAGATTGGCAGTGCTTCCACAGGGTCTGCAGTTGCAGATGATGAGTTCATCATAGTAGCTTTAACTGATGCTCTGACTCAGAGTTTAAATATAACTATATGGAGAGACTGGGCAAGTGCATTCTAAAACAGTGTTTTACTAAACTTCAAATATAATAATAGCTAAAACAACTGTTAACATGGCCACAATGTATTTTTATTTTTCCTTCAAAAATATTTATTTTAGTTTTTGCATATATGAGAATTTGCCTATAACAAATGCATTCCTGATAATCTCAGAGACCAGAGGGAATCAGATATTAGATATCCTGCCACTGGAGTTATCCATGTTTGTATGCTGCCCTGTGGTCACCGGGCACTGAACCACAGCCCTCTGTAAGAGCACTAAGAGTTTTGCTTTTAGCCCCTGAGCCACCTCTGCAGACCTTCTTGTCTTCTTTATCAAATTTATGTTTGAAGTACTATAGATATATGTAGAGTTAGAATGTGTTCTGCACATGCTTTTACAGAATAGTTTTGTGTTTCTTTCAGATGCAATCGACAAGCAGCAGAATGATGCAGGGCTGTATGTCATTGTACCCATAATTATTTCCTCTTGTGTCCTACTGCTCGGAACACTGTTAATTTCACACCAGAGGTATTGCACTTGGATAAAGGCATTTGTCATAAATAATGTAACTTAAGTATATTAAAAGACTGACATAAAGCCTAACTCATAATATTAACAAATATAAGTGTATTAGAAAAGTTTTGCATATATTCCATATGCAATCAACATAACAGAGAAGGAAGGTTGTTTTCAGGAAATCATTTTTCATCTTGATATGAAAGCATACACTTAAAGGCAGATCTCCGCTTTATTTTTTTGTTTTTTTATTTTTTTTTGTAAACTGAATGATGGTGGCTTTTCTTAGCACATTGGGAGGCAGACACATGGATCTTTGAGTGTGAGGCCAGCCTGGTCTACAGAGTGAGTTCCAGGACAGTCAGAGCTACACAGAGGAAACCCTGTCTCAAGAAACAACTGAAGCTCTGCATATACATTCAGGAATTAGCTGACAGATGACAGGACATCCTGGACAGTATGCCCTTAGGCTTTGTAAGGATGTAATCTGGACTGAAGGTGTTAGTGAGATCATGAGACCCTAAAAGTAGATGTTTCATGGGAACAGATGCAGATGCATCTAAACGTAGATGCACAGGGAACATCATGGCAGTGGACCAATGCTCCTGAGGGCTCCAGGGACTCCACACCAATTCAGAAAGCTCCAAGGTGTCTGATTTGATAAACAGCCCTGAGTTTCCTGATGGCTCTGGGGATATCACACCACACTGCTGAGACACCCAGACTACTGGGTGATTTCACACATCTATAGATACACAGTTCTTTATCAAAGTAGTAAGGAGGGAAGATATTATAATCTGACATCGTGTTTTAGTTGAAATAGTGGGGTGGGACCATATCACATGGGCTTATCTCTCATATCCCATATGATGGCCATTTAAAATATTTTCTAAGGAAAACCTAGGCAAGGGAGTTAGTACAGAGCCTGGCACACAGCATAAGAGAGGGTCTTCATAAAAGTTTCGGGATACTCTGTAGAATCAAATGTAAATGTGGGTGTGGTCCTACTGACCTTATCCAGTGGACCAATGCTTAGCTTATTCTGTATATTAACTGCTAATAGTTTTACAGTCTGAACATTTCTGTAATTATAGTGCTTTCTCTTTTTTTCTCCTTTGCAGAATGAAAAAGTTGTTTTGGGATGATGTTCCAAACCCCAAGAATTGTTCCTGGGCACAAGGACTTAATTTCCAAAAGGTCACTTTTTAAGTATTTTAACCCAGATATCTAAGGCTGCAGTTTAGATGCCATATTACTTAAAGATCTTTAAACATCTTTAAGAGGCTTTATTTCGTTCTGTTCATTTTATCAATCCTGTTCATCTTTCATCCTTAGCAATAGCTGGGTTTAAGATTTGATCCGAGAAAACAATGTTCAGTCCCTTCTCACATGAGAATTGACAACACGTCTATTTGTTTTTTCTGGTCACTATACATAAAAATAAATACTACAAGAGGAAGGAATGTTACAGATGGAGAATAGATAGTTTAGTCAAAAGACCTTGAATCAATATTATAATTTTCTACTATTTAATATTCACAACATCTTGCAAGTACAGTATTATATTTATACACTATAATCTGACTTCATGATACAGTTTAATAAAACTTATAGTGATGATTTGTAGATGAGAGAAGGTGACACTTGCAACATTTAAAGGTCTTAGTAAGTATCAGTTGTTATTTTATGTTACTGCTTCACATTTATACATTTTGGACTATTAGTGCTTTTGTATTGGCCCTATGCTATTCTGTCATCAAAAGTAGAAAAGGAAAACCAAACCAAAGCTTATTCTGGTTAGGCACGTTATTGCAGAACGAGGAACACTTTCCCCATTTGGAGAAGTAGATTTTATCTTCCAACCTAGAACAAATACACCCCTGCTCCTGCATGCACAGGAATAAAATGAAATTTGTGGAAAACATCTTGCTGAGAGGAGTGAAAATAGAAAGCTCTTGCAACTTCCATTTGTTTAAAGTGCTGTTTGCAACCCACAAAACCAATCTCCCAACATTCAAATGGTGTATGACTTGCAGTCCACAGAGCATTGCTTTGCAGCTTGTCCATGAATGAACAAGTACATGCTCTTGTACACACCATGAACCATGTACACATCATCATCAGCTCTGGTTGAAGCTGGGTCTTCAAGCAGACAAAACAACACCCTGTTTTCAAAGAGACCATTGTGCAATTTTTCATCTAATCATTGTAATATCATTGCATTCAATCTGTGCTTTTCCTAATACTAGCCATATGCCTCTTGCTCTTCAGCTGTACTCTCCCACTCTAACCCTAGACTCCTTTTATTTCAATAGTGTTACTAATTGTTTCAAATAACATCATTCTTCTTTCTCTCCCACAATTAATTCATATAATAACATTTCTCAAAATCAAATGCACGGATGTGTCATTCATGCATCTGTTAGTAGGCACAGAATGAGTATTCATAGGGAAGGAGAGATCACTGCTAAACTCTAGGTGAACAGATTTTTAAGAAATCTTCTTTGTCCTTTCAGAAAGAGTGGGGCTGAACAGAGTGTCCAGGTTGAAGGAAGAACTTGTCTTTTTATTTTTCTGTAATGCTTGTTTATTTTCCACTCATATATTCAGTCATGTAGTAATTTTATTAGTTTATATGTAAACCTGTCCTCTACCAATCACTTTGCTATACCTTAGGGCTCTACTGAAAAGAAACACTGTATATGCTCCTGTATTATATGTATCATTTGGTGAGGAAGATAAACACTAGTTGATCAGTAGAAATAATGTCATAGTCATAAGCTACACTGTTCTGTGGCTTGGAGCATGGATGAGTATGAGTGGGCACAGGGAAGACTGTGACATTGGACCTGGGGCTGGTGATGTACACCTGGAATGCATGTCAGTTTTTGGAATCCTGAGGAAGGAGGATTATTGTGAGTTCCAGGCCAGCCATAATCATAATGATTTTGAGGCCTGCATTGGTCACATAGGAACACAGTCTCAACAAACAAACAGAAGTGGAACAATATAAAGGTAGAAAGGAACAGGGGCAGGTGGAGAAAAAGCAATTGATATTTGAGTCAGATATGGCTGATGAATACTCAGTATCTGGCTCTGTGATTCGAGGGTAGACACCTGGATACTCAATGGCTAACATATTCTCAAATAGGCAATGCAGTCATCAGATTAGCCATGTTTTCCTCTTAAATATGAGCCTTTCTTTTGTTAAATCAAAAATGACTAAATTCCTATCTAAATAAAAACTCAAAAGCTTCATTATGTGGGTTCTGATAAATTCAGGACAGTCATCAGACTGCCTCTTAAAAGGAAGTTAAAACTCTCCCTCCCTCCCTCCTGCAAGGTGTATTTGGCAATTTTTCTCCATACTACTGAGAAAAAGGAATTTAAGTTTTACTTGAGATAGAGAAATGCCAGACTTACCTGAGCAAACGGAATTTGAACCTTTACCAGATAAATGTTTCTTCCTTTCCAGATAATGCCTGGCAGAAATTAGAGGATAGAGGGTTGATGAACCAGCAAATATCTCCAGAATCTGGCTCACCTGGCTGTCTCACATGTCCCCTATCATAGCTAAGTGTGGTGCTGTATTTAGCAGGGTATATGGCAGATATTTTAAGCAAATTGAAATACTCCCCCTGAAGTTTCCAGATTCTGGTAAAGTGAAGTGTATATTAAAAGTTATTTTATTTATGTGTGTGTGCACATATGTGTGCAGGTATCCACCGATGTCTGAAGAGGGCACCAGATGCCCCAGAGCTGGAAGTGACAGTTGTGAGCTGACTGACATGAGTTCTGGGAAATGAACTCAGGTCCTCTGGAAGAGCTTCAAGCACTGTTAACTGCTGAGCCATCTTTCTAGTTCTAATGTATATTAAAAAAAAAGTGGGTTGTGAATATCCTTATTTGTGAGAAATTGCTTTTTACCTTTGCAAATACTTTACTTTCTCATTTTCAGTATATGTAGTCACAGTTTTTATGTATTTCTAAGGCATAACAAAGATGTAATATTAAGAATAAATCAATAAGCCAGGTGGTGGCGGCACACACCTTTAATCCCAGTACTCAGGACACAGAGTCAGGTGGATCTCTGTGAATTTGAGGCTAGCCTGTTCTAAATAATAAGTTCCAGGACAGCTAGGGCTATACACACAGAAACCCTGTCTCAAAAACGTCAAACAAACAAACAAACAAGAATCAATCAATGACAAGACAGACTGAAGATGGGTTGGTAGCTTGCCCTGGCTACATACTTAACCAGGATTTGTAAAAACTTGGATTCAAACCCAAGTCCCTCTGACAAAGTGATAATCCTTGCCATGAATTTTATATTAACATTTTAACCGTAATGTGGTTAATAGTCTCAAAATCAAACACTCAAAGAAAGAGGAAATGTTCAAAATGTGTTTCATATATTTTTATACAATTAAAAACTATAGGTACTAGATTTGACTATGCATTTTTTTCTAAAGACAATATATAGAAAACACAGATTACCTTTTTATTTACAAATGAAGAAATGATCAACATCCTTAAACCTCAGGGAAATGCAAGTCAAAACCACAATGTAGGCTACAAAGCTTATGAGATGTTCATCATAGCTAGAGAAAACATGGTCAATATCTTTAGACATCAGAGAAATGCAAGTCAAACCCACAAGGTGACCTCCACAGCTTGTGGGATGTTCATCACAGAAACGTCGGAGACATCAAACAACAGACGTTGAGGCTTTGAGCCTGCTTTTGGGAATGTAAAAACAGTGCAGGCCTTTTAAAGGGTCTGGCAATTCTTTCCTGCTTAACTCAGGACTAGGCAATCTACTCTTAACATTTCTACCAAAAAAATGATGAAACTTACACAGGAGTACTTATTCATGAATATTCATAGAATACTTACTAATAGTAGCCAGAACCTGAAAAAAAATCCAAATGGCCTTCAAATGATAAGTGAATGAACACATATGGTATTTCCAATTTAAAAATTAAAGAAAGCAAGGGAATAGATGGGAATATATGCACTGTAGACACTGCAAACCAAACAGCCAATGGGAAACTATCTAAAAAATTCCAGGAGTTTTTATAAAAGTATTTTTAATATTTAAAATTTTAAATTAAATAAATGTTTTTAATATAAAACTTTCCTTTATTTTGTTGTTTTAATTCTGACTTTCATGAGCATAACTCTTTTTTTATTAATTATTTTTTCTCAAATCGTAATTCATTCACACAGGGGTTATAAACACAGAAAGACAGGATGTGGGGAAGGGGATGACACTGGAGTGTGGGTGATGAACATTACTCTTTATGAATGTGCTCTATTCATGTAAGTCCTAGGCATTTAATCTCATCTCTAAAATTTTTCTGAAATTACTTCCCTCTACTTTTTAAATTTTTTATGACATATCAAAAGCTATACTGCCACAGTCACTATTTTATTACTGTGGCGAGATACTATGATCAAGGTACTCTTATAAAATCAGACATTCACTTAGGGACTTACAGTTCCATAAAGTTCTCCTGTTATCATAATGGTGAGGAATGTGGCTGCACACAGATAGACCTGGTGCTAGAGACATAGCTGAGAGCTTTACATTCTGAACTACACACAACAGGCAGAGAGGGGGGGGGCAGAGAGACATTGGGGTGGGGCCCGGTGTGGGGTTTTAAAACATCACCCAATGGCATACCTCCTATAACAAGTTACTTTAACAAGGGCATACCTCTTGATTCTTCTAATCCTCCTCAAACTATTCATCAACTGAAAACTAAACATGCAAATACATGAACCTCTGGAGGCAATTTTCATTTAAACCACCACATTCCACTCACTGGCCCCCATAGTCTTATAGGTATATCATAATGTAAAAATTCATTCAGTCCAACCTCAAAAGTCTCCATAGTCTTTCAGAGTGTCCACTCTCTGTTTCAAAGTCCAAAGTCCATGTCTTTTCTGAGACTCAAGGAACTTTCTTAACTATAACACCCTGTATAATCTTAAAAAACAGAGGACACATTTCCAACATACAATGGTATAGAGTATATATTGCCATTTCAAAGTGGAAGAAAGGGCACATAATAAGGAACTATTGGATCAAAGCAAGACAGAAACCCAAAAGGGCAAACTACAAATTCTGTATCTTCCATGTCTGATATCAAAGGGCTCTTTATATCTCCAACTCCTTTTAGTTTCATTGACTGCAACACATTTGACTCTATAACTGCAGGTGCCAAGTTCTTCTGGTTGCTGGGGCTGCAACTTGGGCCCTCTCTTGTATTACACTTGCATAAGCTTTCAGTTGTTGGCAGATTTCTCTGCTACTTAAGCTTTCCTTTTTACCTTTCTGTAAGTTAGTAACTTAGCTGGGTAGGATTTTGCCCTGAGATTACCACTCCCTTTTTCTATTTAGAATCACACTAAATAGAAAAGTGTTTTTAAACCCTTTATTTCCTTGAGCATAGGACTTAGCTCTAATGTTACCTTTACTGGTTGGTCTTTTTCTCCTCAAAGTATATATTTCGTATTTCTCCTTGCCTCATTTGCTTGGTTTTAATTGTAGATCAATTATAACCACATGACACATTCAATACTAGGCTGTCCTGAAATCTCCTCTGCCTATGCCATTAACCTAAAACTCTTCCATTTTAGCCTCTATCATATTCTTAAGACAGTGAGAAGACAGTGACAGATCTTCTCCAACAAGTTTATAACTGGTTGGACAAGGCAGTATCTCTGAATCCTTCTACTGTATCTCAAGCAGCTCATCAACTAGGAAGTAAGCATGCAAATATATGAGCCTATTGGATCCTCTTTAATTCAAACCACTACACATACTAAACTAAACATACAAATTAAAGGTCCAAAAGACAGTAGCTTAAAATATTTTTAAAGAAAAAGATCTTGGGTAATGTCTCAGTGTGTAAAATACTTACCATAGAAGGAAGTGGAGTTTGAACCACTGGAACTAATATAAAGCGGGCATAGAAGCATGTTGTGTATAATACCAATGTTCCTAGGGTGTGGTAGGAGCTGGGGGCCAGAAAATTCCAGGAAGCTTGCAGGCCAGCAAGGTGGTAGAAACAATGGTGGACAACCAAGTGACAGTATCTCGAACAAGTTGGTAGGCAAGAATGGGCACCGGAGCTTTTCCTTTGACTCCCACTCTCTTAGACTCACTCTTAAATATATTTTTTAATTGCATGTCAGACCTGATAGTTAATAGTACAGTAGTACCATGTCATTAAACATATTTCTCCCAAGATCTTTCTGTATACAGTACTTCCTGCTGTCTTTAAAATTTCATATAATGTACACACACCAAAGTAGAGTAATGTAGGATCTAGGAGTGCTGCTTCATACCAAACACTTGTCTAGTATGTACAAGGTGTGAGTTCAATCTTCAGCTTGGAAAACATAATGCCTCTATACTAACACAGTATCTTAAAAAATCAAACCAAAATGACCTAATGTAACATCTTTAATTTTTCCATATTTATTTTCATCTCTCATAATAAGAAGTACAGATCCAGTTTTTCCTGCTTGTCCTCCTCTCTGTCCCCTTCGTTTTCTCTATAGATTGCTCCTTTCAGAACATACAGTGTGTGTGATTCACTTCATACTTCTGGGTGTCCCTGCATGCACTCAGGTGTGTGTCACTTATGAGCAGTAATGCTTGGAGGGGTCCTGAAGGTTGGCATACTGCCCTTGTCATTCTAGACTCTGCTGAGGTATCTCTGAGATGACATGGTTTTGTCTGCTCACCAGACACCTAGTGGTGCCTCCATCCTGTGAATACAGCATAGTTATATCCACCCTCCTCACCCCTACAGGAGAGGTCATCACTGCCAGATTTCTCTTTTCTGAGCAGTATACCGCCATTGTTAGTAGGAAGCATGGCTGACAGTGTCTGTTCAGGTGCATGCCCTGGCACTTCTATTTGCTCTTGTATAGATCTGAAAGAAGACAAGTGTGCAGCTTTGTATAGAAGACTATTAATGGTATAGTCACATGTTTCATCCTTCCCACAAATGATGATACTTTCAATTGTTTTACTTTTAGTCTTCTTGACAGGTCACTTATATGTCCCTAAATGCTGTGTGCCTTTGAACAACAGGTGGATGCTTCCGTAGACTCACAGACATTGGGGCATTTACTCATGTGCACACTGTTCTGTAAGGTTTTCAGTCCTCTGATACTTTCAATAAACCCAGGTTTTTTTCTTCAAAGTGAAACATTTGAACTACTATTTTTTTTTTAAAAAAAATACATATATTATACATTTTCTTCATTTCTTCCTCAATTTCTTTAGCCTTTATAAATTGTCACTACACTGTACCTTATTTTGTATATTTTATTATTAAAACTATTATTTAAAATGAGACAACCAATAATCACCCTTCATGTTGTTTTCAGTGTAATTTTTGTTCCCTGAAGAGAGAAATAATGTGGTTGATACATGTCTTGCTGGTTCCGATATCAAAAAAAGAATTTTTTAAAACGAGAAGTCTTCCATTTGAACTATTTAATTAAATAATTTTCAATAACTTAGTTTTATTTTCTGTGCATTGGTGTTTTGCCTATGTGAGTGTCTGTG